ATTGAGTATATGCCAATAAGTGACTACAGTTTCTTGCCAGAATCACTGTCTCTTTTACCATCAAAGAGGGTTGTGAAGTGGAAAAAGGATAAATCTCTTCCTGTGAATTCCAGATTTTGGAAGAACCTTCGGTACCTGATGCCAGCAAAACCTGCTAAGAAAAACATCAAAGGTCACTATAATAATCTTGACCTAGGCTCACAAGGGGCTCAACCACGGACTGAGGGCTGTGAATTTAATGGAGTTGTATAACAATTCTGGAGGCAGAAGACTATGCATTTTGCTAACTACTAGAAAACACAAACTGCACACTTGCTTTGGAAAGACAGTGTTCAGAAGAGGTCAAGTCTGGGATCTGAGAAAAATGTAGAAATTGCTACAGTGGCCAAGATGCTAAATGTTATCCCAGAGAGTTTCCTTAACAACCTGCACAAGAAGCAGGAATTCCATTCTGCTTAGGACTTGCCACATGGCACAAAACGCAATGCAGGACATTTTGATTTCACATTTTTCAGTAATGTAGAATGATATGAATTATACTTCCATACATTTTGAGTCCCCTTAATAAACGTATCTCTATTTGACACGTATTATTATTTAGATGCTTTTCATTTTGTATTTTGGATTTTCCTAAGGACCTTGCTTGGGAGCAGATTCAAACGGCTCCTGCCATATAGAGCTTTGCATGCAGGCTTTGGGCAACATCAAGCAGAAAAAATCAAATGAAAACAGAAAAAAAAGAGGCTGGAAAGAGTTAGGGCAGATTTGGTCCTACTGGCAGTATTCGCTACAGAGTTGTACGTAGTCTGGAAAAGCCAAATGGGGCTGATTTGGAGGAATGGTAAAGACTGTTTCCATCCTTCTGTTTCACTGAGAATACTGTAAATGCTCATTTTGGTAGGGAGAGGAGGGGGTTGAGCTAGAGATAATAGTTTTTTGCTCATGAACACTGATATCTACATTATAACATGAGCTGCCTTTAGCTGAGGGATGTAGGGGATTTACATGAAAATGAGCTCTTCAGTATGTACATACACTCCTAACCCTTTGGAACATTTGTATTTAGTATTATTTTTTAAAACAAACATAGTAATATCATTCAAAAACCGTACTAATCCTCCCTTATTATTAGTTGCCTGGCAGAATATACTAATCTGACATAAATTTGATAAAATGGATAAATCTGATAAAATGGAACCGTATTTCCTTCTAGTGCCAATGGGGAGAAATCAATAGAGAATAATTTTGGAAGATCTTCTGTCAGTTTGCTAGGAGACCATCAAGGTTCAGCTCATTCTCCTCATTATCTTGCATTCAACTAAAGCTACTTCTGAGGAGGCATTTCTTTGACACCGATACTTAGTGCTGCTGTAGTGGAGGGTCTTTGTTACCTTCTCGGTGTACTTGAGAACACAACTGGAGTGCTGGATGTGTCCTAAAGGAAACACACAGCTAATTTGTGAAGGATGGTCTAGAATTCTATGTGTCACACCCAGATATCAGTAGACTGTATAACCTAATACAAAATGGACAGAGGTTTGTGTTTAGATATTGTTCAGACACCTGCTGTGACAGCAGAACCAACACCACTGACTCAGTGTAGAGATAATCGGAATGGAAAATTTCTTACCCACTGGTGTTAACCATAGCTGGGCAGAGGAGGAGGTGACATGTAAATGTGTCAAGGCAGAAGAGTACCAGAATATTAAAGAGATGGAACCTCCCAGCAATATAAGACTACACTACACACACACTGAGATGGTGCATTCCCCCTCCCTGTTCCTTGGGTGGCAAAATGCTTGAGCGAAAGTGAGATGGACAAGGTAAGACTGAATTTCCACAGGGGTGGGGAGGCACAATTTCCTGGAACTATAGCATCAAATATCAAATATGATATCTGTGTGTGAGTAGAGAAGGAGGAGAGAGAAAGGAAGCAGGGATGGTACTCCGGAACCATCCTTTACCCTTTCCTTTATAAACTTGCTCTAGCAGCAACGGATAAATTTGAACCTGGGAAGTGAGGCTGCTTTTTAGTGTATACATGACTTTTACAAAAGAGGAAAGGGTGAATTGGAGCAGAGGCTCAGCCAAATATTTGGTACTATTTGATAAGATTTTCATCCAGTCTGAGTAACCAGTATGACATACCACTCAGTCTTTTGGCAGCATGGTTTTCAAAACTTTATGTGACTGGTGCTTCTGTTGTATTTCTAAAATCTGCTCTTAAAGTTGGACTGCTCTACTTCTTTTATTGAATGCAATAAACCCATTACTTTGACAGTACAACAGTGGGGACTTACAATGAATGAGTAGACACATTTTGTGTCCTTAAAATGTGTCTTTGGGAAAGAACCATCTTTTCTGTCTGATAGCCTGAGCAATGGCTTAAAAGCAGCATAGGTTGACTTTATCTGTGTTGCACTTTCTAATTCCTTCAAGGGAAGAGGAAAATACAGTGTTTCTTCTAGGCAGAAAGGACACCTTCAAAAAGCTGAATTCTTTATAGTGAAATGTGCGAATATACATTGGAGCCTTTTGTAATTCATAAACCAGACATATGTTTGGTACTGGGGCAAAACGCTAAGTATTTTAGGAGACAGTCACCAAGTTTAATCATCAATGGGGTTTGTTCTGGAAAAGGCAGAGAACTAAGTACACTTTGGAAGCGGAGAATACAAATCCTGTATCTCCAAATGCTCAGAACCCAACAGAATCAAGCATTAGTACTGGCCATTGCATAAAAGAATATGTACATAAGAAGAGGCAAGATTGAAATCTCCTGTTCTAGAGCAAAAAACCATTGTTTAGCTTCTTGTGGAAACAGAGAAATTGACCCAATGTGCAGTAAGGAGGGTGAACTTCACACAAAAAGAAGGAAGTCCTACTGCTCCTGAAATGACTGGTGCAAACTGCTGAACCTGTATATTTTACAACCTATTTTTGTTGTTGTATTTTGTTGTTGTATTATTACTACAATATTTTTCAACCCCTATTGAAATAGGGAGAACTGGGGTCTGAGTTGATGACAAAGTGCTCTCAGATGCTTTTATGTAGTTTGAGTCACTGTACAGCCTGTCTTTTTTAGGGGATTTACATCCATACAGGAAGCCTGCAAGAGGGGGTTGCACTGTGTGGGACTGTATATGCTCAATGCTCTGCTGCTTAGTGGGGCCAAGGGGGCAAGACACAAATAGCCCACATTGATCAGGACTTCTCTTTCTGCCAAAGCTATGGCTGGGGTAACCAACAAGGCTTAACTGGGAGGACACAGATAGAAAGTAATAGCGTGTCACAGCCTTCTTATAATGCCAACTTTCAGTGGGTGTGGAAAGTAGCTGAGAGGCTAGGAGTAAGGAGAACTAGGCTCTTATAGTGGATATTACTCAGTATTGAACAGAATTGTGGTTCTTTTGTAGATTTCAAATATTACACTTTCTTTTTTTTTTTTTTTAACCACCTAATAACAGCGTTTAGGCAAAAAAAAAAAATGTCCCAAAATACTTTTACCCTTCCTTCTCTTAAATGAAACAAATTAAAAAGTCCAATGTTTTTCTTCACACAATGCAAATATAAGATTTTTAGAACCCAAAAGGCTTTGATTTTTTAACTAAGGACAAAGTATTTTCCCTTGTTCTTTTTACAAGAAAGTTACCAGGAAATTTTGAACCTAACAGAACTAAACTGAGAAAGGAAGGGATGATGACAGTGAGGTAAAGGAAATTCCTGTAAAGGAAACAGACTCAACACAGTGAACAGCTAGAACTAAACCACATTTCTTACCCCATAGTGTAGGATGTGCAGGTAAGATTTTCAGATAATATATTTTTTTTTAATTATAACTTTTATCTTTGGATTTTACCCTACCCCATCTACTTCGTAGGTGAGTTGATTTATTATCTTTGAATGTGCATTTTAAAGTAAATCAGTTTTAGTTGCTTAGTCAGACAAAATGGTAGGGTCTAGTAAGTACCTTCAGTAGGGCTAGGGTAATTTTTTTTCTTTATAGGTATGGTGAAGCTTTCTTCTGTGTGATTATTACTAATCTTACTCCTAGGTTCAGATTAAGTTTGGTTTTCCACCGTTGTAAGTCCAATACCAGACACAGGAGTTGATAGCTCTGACGCAGAATGAAGTGATTTTCATCCGAACGGGAGTAGTAGATTGTAAGATTGTGGCATGCCACTCTGTACTAGACTTCAGAGATATCATGAATCGTGGTGCAGCTCTCAAGAAGTTGATCTTCTGATTCTTGTGCTTATATTTTAAGCAAATACACACAAAATGCTATGGAATAGAGATTTATTGGTTTTTTGTGAGAGTCCGCTAAGAATTTAAAGATATGCAAAATAATACAGTTTTTATTCTTCTCTTGTACATTTTTTCACCACAGGAAGTTGTGTTAAGGCCACATTAGTTTCCTTTGTATATGAGTTTCCAACTAAATGGCATCCTAATTCCCTACACTAAGGATACAGTAGTATGGGTGGGTACATGAAAGGAGAAGGTGGAGAGACTCTTGGTAATATGTTTCGAGAGTAGAGTGCTTTTTTTTTTCTTGCAGATACTAACCAAGATAAAATGAGTCATTGATTATATCAAGTTACTGATTCATCTTCAGACCCTGTGTAGTGAACTGGATGGTCAGTTAAAGATTATCCTGCTTCAAGTACCCCGCCTTTGGTAATTGCTGTCTGCTTCTGCTATGAATTTGTCTTCTTGTCAAACACATTTGAAAGACAACACTTATCAATTTCATGCACTACTGTACTTCTTAAGCACTATAAAAATTCAAAGATTACAAGGTTCTCTAAGAAAAGTGTCATCAGTTAACAAAAATAAATTGGCAGTGGTGCATTTTCCCATGGCTAGCAGAAGAAAACTGAAAATTATACAGATTGCTAACCAAACCTGTAACATTCATTAGCTAACCATCTCTACACTTCTTCCACATTTGTGTTGACCTGTTGAGCTTGAAGGGCTAACAATATTGTTAGCATGGCAATAAACTGAAGAGCAGAGAGATTATACATCACTGGCATTATTAAATACATTGTGAATGGTGACTTGTTTTGCTACAGGTAGCCTGTGTGTCCCCAGACAAATGGGCAGCTGGGAAGTAAATGCTTCCACTGCCTATCTTGTGCCATGTCAGGCACCTCTCAGGTAGCTTCTCATGGCTTAACAGGTTGAATGAATCACCAGAAAGGATTGCAGCTGTTATAGGAAAGGGCCTGGATCATTTGCCTGGGATCAACGGAGTGGAGAGGACAAAGAAATAGAGGAGACCTTCCACTTTTGATAATACTGACTGACTGCATCAGCTCACTTGCAGCACTGAATTACACACAAGGCCCTTGGGTCCTGCTTGCTGCCAACACCAGTATGTCTGTCCTGGTTTTGTCTGGGATGGAGTTATTTTTTTTCCTACTAGCTGGTATGCTCCTGTGTTTTGGATTTAGTGAGAGAACGATATTTTAGTTGTTGCTGTGTAGCACTTACCCTGATCAAGGACCTTTCAGTGTCCCGTGCTCTGCCAGTGAGGAGGGGCAATAGAAGCTGGGAAGTAACAAAGACAGGACACCTGACCCAAACTAGCCAAAGGGGTATTCCATACCACAAAATGTTATACTCAGTGTATAAACTCTGGGGAGTTGATCAGGAGCCACAGATTGATGTTTAGGGGTGAGCTGGTCATCAGTCAGCGGGTGGGAAACAGTTGTGCTGTACATCACTAGTCTTTATAGGGTTTTATTTCTCTCTTTTTCCTATTATTATTATTTTTATAATTATAGCATTTTAATTTATTTCATTTATTAAACTGTTCCTATCTCAAGCCACAGGTTTTACCTTTTTCTGATTCTGCTTCCCATCCCATTGGGGAAGGCGAGTGTAAGCCAGCGGCTGAGTGGTACTTATATTGATGATTTAGACCATGACAGTGTCTTTGCCATGTGGGCTGTTGGGTGATATAACTCATCCTTTGTTTTATACAGTATTAATAGGGGTAGAGATGCAGCCCTAATGAATGCCCTGAGAGAGGTCTTTGCAGTTGTCATAAACCCAAATTCAAGAGTAAGGATCCATTGATCCTTTTACAGTGGATAAATCCTAAAGTTTAGGAGGGCTTCCTCCCAGTGCTGCTGGGAAACTGTCTCTTTGTTCAGACATATGTATTGGTCAGGAGTTTCAGGATGATTTTGAAAGATGAATGGGGTGATGACTGTTGGCGGCAGCCAATCTGTTATAAAGCACCAGGATGCATTAAGACAAGTGAGTTAACCTACTCAATGTGACCTCCAAGTGTAAAAATAGATCATTCCGTTCACTTGCAAGGAATAAAGATGTGCTGAAGAGAATGATGACTAAAGTGCTCCTCTTTACACAGAGCAGCTGCGTGAAAAAGTGCAGAGTGGGAGTTCTTTTCACGTCTTTTGCTAGCTCTGTGTGCAGTGGATGCTCTCTTGCTGCCTGCCTGTATGAGTGGTGTCTGATTTGCATGAGGTGACAACAGACAAGGGACTAGCCTTTGCCTGACCTTTCTTTTTTTCCTCTGGGCTGACTCAGTGCCTCTCTGGCAGATGTGCAGGTGCGGAGTCACTCTGTGGCCAAATGTGCAAAGGAAAAAGCTCCTTGAGGTCTCAGTTGCATAACATGAACATTAGCAAAGCACATGGCCTTTACTCCTGAATCAGGCACTCCAGACATGTCAATCACAGGCACTGGGTATGTTCTTACTAAATATGCAAATTAAGCCATAGCTGTTGAATATGCATGATTGACAGCCTGCCTTCCCTCTAGCCCTGTGGTTGAGAAGGCTGTGGTACACAGATGAAACCTCCTAGTAGGAAAGACAAAATACTTAATGCAATAGTGTTTGGGTTTCATCTTGTATAGGGTGCTGTAATATAGGGGTCTGGGTGCAGCTGAGTGATTTCGGGTCCTGCTCCCACATCCCCTGCATGTCCCCGGTCTCAGCTCAGAGGTGGTATGCCACTGAGCTCATACCTTATGGTGGAGTGGATGTTACCTTGTTGAGCAGGTCTCTCCTAGGGTCATTCAGGCAGTGCAATGCAGGACTCTGGTGCAGAAGCGAGGCCTGATGCTGCACGTATAGGTAAGTCATGGAGGAGAAGGGGTTTTTTAGGTTCCTCTGCAGACCATAACGGGCATTTTATGGTATATCCATTTTAGCTGGTAATAAAGCCCAATAGGAGCATGTCTCTTGAGTTAATGAGTTGGAACCCAAGACCTGGTGTCTATACAGTACATGCTTTTAGGGTTTTCCTTCTGCATAGCTCTGCTCCAGTCCCATGGACTCAATGCTGGCTGTAGCTGCAAAGCATCTTCAGATTTGATAATCTCAAAGGAATCCAGTTTACACATTCTGAGCCTATTGGCCTTCAGGATAAAACAAATCTCCACAGATTTTAGGGCCAGTTATGCCTTTCTCAGTCTGCTGCTGATAGTTGTCATTAGCTAAAGGCATATTTTGTTATTTGATATCTTATCTATCATCTTAGAGGACAGGTTCCTCTTCTAACAGCAACGTCTCCTGCAAGACCTGCATTTCCATTCCAGATGTGGAGCTCTGCATTGCTGTACACTTGGAAATCCCTCTGTAAGCAATTCTATGCAAGATATATTTAAAAAGGATGTTCATATTCTTGAATATCATCTATCCTGTATTTGTGTGAAATAGTATGAATAGGAGGAGTGCTGCAAACCCTGTTTCAAAAGGCACAATATCTAGAAAATACTGTCTGTAAGTTTTATAGAGCTACATAAGAAGATATGTAATTGCCTATCTATGTTACTGGAGTATTACTTGGAAAAGAAAAAGTCTGTCTTCCTCTTTTACAGAAAACAAGATGATTCTTACAGAAAATACCTCAGAATATCAACCAAAATCAGTAAAGAAAATCATGCTCACTTTGTGCTGGATCCTAGCATTGTTTATCAATGGGGCAGAAGTTAGAGAGATTAACTTTTTAGGTAAGAGGCTGCTTTGGTGAGGTTTGGGGTTTGTGGCTCTTTCTAACAGCTGAGAAAACTCGATCTGCATTTTGACATGCCTTCATGACTTTTCCCTGCACCTGTTTATACTCATGTAAGGCAAACAGCTGTTTCTAGCCTTTCTGTAAACTTTTTAAGTGTTGGTAATACAATTTACTGTAAATAGGATTCAAAAATCAGTTCCCAAATGAAAAAAAAAATGGCAAATGTAAAGGAGAGTTTCTGAGAACTGAATGGAGGAAAAGAATTGCTTCTCTAACTCATCAAAGTCTCCAGCAGCTGGTCCAAGCCCACACAATGTATTTGAAGGAGCTTGATTCAATTCAGTTCACAGAGAGAAACCAAAACAGGGAATCTCCAGGTGGGCAGGTGAGGAACTGAAGATTTCATGCTGTCACTTCTGCTGAAGTGAAATCCTAACATATTTTCAAGGGTTACCACATCTTGACAGGCTGGAGGAGTTACACAGCGAAGTCAGTCAGCCTTCAGGGAATTTGGGCAGGTGACCTCAGCTTTCAGCATCAAAAAATCTGTTTAATTTTAGTGACAGTAGCTGAAACATAAGAGGGGAAAGATTTGAAAGCAGCATAACAATAATGATAGTCAACCTTACCCAAAATAGGGAGTATGGTTGTCAGGCTCTGCTTCTTCAGGCTTATGTTAGTCCCTTCCCCATTAAGACGAGGAGGGCTAGAAAAGCTGCATCTACTTTCCTACAGAGTTGACGTTTAATAGGTTAGCACCTATGTGAAAATCTTCGGTTGGCTAAAAATCTTAAGCTATTTTCACGTTAGGCTTTTAAAAAAGGCTTAATAAACCTTTGGAAACCTTTGGATAAACTTTTGAAATCACTGGCAAATTTCATGTTTAAGGAAATCAATTCTCTATTAGTCCAGCATCTGGTCACATAAAATTATTTAACAAAAAGGAAAGTTGTATTTTTGTAGTATTCCTAATTATATTTTTAAAACATGATGACTGTGTGATCTTTCAGGTGGTGTTGATATTTTATTGTCCTGCTTTTCAGGATGTTCCCATGTTGAACCTCAAATATGGTATCGTGCAATTAGTGGTGAGGAATTTGTTTTACAATGTGCTTTACCAGATAGAGATGCTACCCACATTTATAACAACTCACTTCCAAAACAACATAAGGTGAAATGGTTCTGGCAAAAAGACAAAGAGCCACTGAAGGCTGTCAAGGAAAGCTCTAATCCTGCTCTCCAAGGGGATGCACTTTGGTTTAAACCAGTAAGGGACAGTGATTCTGGAATGTTCATCTGTATAATATGGTATGTAATGGAACAAAAGGCTTTTAATTCTATACAAGAATAATTGTTTTCTTTTGCTTTATTTTGTGCATTAAATGTTTAACTTTTTTCCTGCATCACTCAGGGAAAAAATCTCATGTCTCAAAATTGTTTTGGAGGTTCAAACAAAAAAGGTGGCAAAATGTTCAGGTTATGACACAAGCACGCTCTATCTTCTTGCTGGCAATGGGAATTCAATAACTTGTCCTGGGACAAAATGCTACAGCCATATAAAAAAGCCAGATGTAAAATGGTACAAGGTAAGAGTCATTGCCTTGACAATTCAAAAAAGCTCAGTGGTCTAGTTAATGCTCATGTGTCATAAGTTTCTGAATTCTTGTTTGGCAGACGATGCAGCCTGAAAAGTTCAACCCAAAAGTAGAATCTTGAATTACTATATATCAAGTTGACATGTAAGAGTTTTGATGAAATTTGCCACACCCAAAATATCATTCCACAAAAGAGAAGCCTGGAAATGCTTTCTCTCCAGTGGATTTTTTTTCACGAATTTGATTAATGGAAAATTCTTAGTGGTCTTAGAGAATATGAATACACTGAGTTGAAAAATATGGGTGTTTTTCAAAAATTAGTGAGTTTTGATCTTTTGACTAGAACAGTGTTGTCAATCTCAGATAATCCAAATCCATGATATATTTCTCATGAAAGAACATAAAAATATTTTCAAAAAGAATTTATTTATAAAGAAAAAGAATCCATCAAAAGGTGATATTTTTTGTTGCTCTTTAGTAATAGTTTAATTTAGATTAGATTCATGATTTCACATTTCTCTCAAGAATCACAAATTTAAAATATTTTTTAAATGATAATCACATATTATAGACCAAATTTTTTTTTTATATCACTGACAAATGTCCTCAGATTCCTAATAAATCTGTTTTTGTGATTCAATGTAATGAGTTGGGCTTAGATTTGCTGCCATGGTAACACTATCCAAATATCCTAAAATATACTTTAATAACAGCAAAAACAACAACGAAAGACTTCTAATTCCTTGGGTTTTTTTTTATTTTTTTTTTTTAGGATGGTCATCAAATAAAGCATAGGAAAACCAGAAAAAGCCTAAAGCTTAAGCATAATGAAATCTATTTGAATCCAACCTATGACAAAGATGCTGGAATATATGTGTGTGATTATGTTCTATATGACAACACTACCAAGTGGACAATGAGAACAACAGTTACAGTAGAAGTCATCAGTGAGTAATATAATAACTCAGAATAGAATACATGAAGTAAAGTCTGTTTTCTCTGTTCTCTCCTACCCTATTAATGTCTTTTGTTCAGACTCTTGTTCTGAAAAATCCATAAACTGAATTTGCTACATGATCATTAAAATCCTCTTCCAGGTATTCTGAGGACATCTTGACTAGAACTTTCAATTATAGAATCATAGAATGGTTTGGGTTGGAAAAGACCTTATGATCGTCTAGTTCCAACCCCCTGACATGAGCAGGGAAACATCCCACTAGACCAGGTTGCTCAAAGCCCCATCCAACCTGGCCTTGAGCACTGCCAGGGATGGAGCATTCACAGCTTCCCCGAGTAGCCTGTTCCAGTGCCTCACCACTCTCACAGTAAAGAATTTCCTCCTTGTATTCAATCTAAATCTCCCCTGTTTAAGTTTGAACCCATTACCCTGTGTCCTATTACTACAGTCCCTGATGAAGAGTTCCTCTCAGGCATCCTTGTAAGCTGTTCAGTAACAACATATAGCATAAAATGCCATGATTTTCAAGATCTAATTCCACCTTGGATTTCTTGTGGTTCCCAACAGTGGAGACCAAGTCTATAAAAGGATTTAGATCTCAGAGTAGAATTCATGAAACTCCAACTGGTGCCAATGAGTGCTAATCCAGAGCTCTATGGCACTTTGATATGGCATGGCTTTATATTCTCCTTCAAATCATGGTAACCTCTTCCATAATATTTACTGTCCTCTCCTGCCCTTTGGGTGAAGTGCAGATATTGCCTGAGAGCTGTTGGATAATGTCAACAAGGGAGCGTGCTCGAAACTCAGGATCACAAAAGAGGGAGACTGTTTATATTGCTAGAAGAGAGATGTGGTTATGCTTTACTCCAGATGCCTGTGGTTGAGTGCTGGTTGAGACTTTTATTTCCTAGAGGAAAGTACAGCTACTTTCTATAGTACAGCATGGGACCCATTCTCAGCATCCTTGTAGAAAGTGTGCCACTGTGGAAGGGAGAACAAGATTTAGGGAGCAAAAGAAAGGTGTCAGTGGAGGCAACCTGGTTCTATAGTCTAGTGAGAACATCACTCCTCTGAAATTCCATGGTCTAGGGGAGTACAGCACTCCTCTGAAATAGCTGTTCCCTATTTTGCAGATGTTTGAGGCATTTGGTACCAAGAAGTCATGGAAAAAATATATACTCCCCACCAGAACAGGGTCTGGAAACCACACCTCACCAGCTTTTGAGACATCTGTGTTCTGAGTTACAATGCTCTTTCACCCCTTTCTCTGGCTATAGTCCTGAAATATTTTCCAATCAGTCATGAAATAGCTCTGCTTTTATTCTGATCACACTAAGCCTGAGCTAAGCACTGTGCTTCTCAGTTCTTTTCCCTCACTTCACAGCACACCCAGAAAAACATTTGAAAAGAGTCATATACATACATAATTGACCTGAATCTTGCATACATTTCTCTTCTGTGGCTTGGTTTAAAAGAAAACCCGAAGTGTTATGTGGCACCGTTTCCTGCAGGATGGGACTTTCCTAGAATATCAGAGCTGTGGGTTTTAGCACCTTCAGGTTGTTTTTCCGGAGGCTGGGTACTTACTTAGTAGCTCGTATGAACTGTGGGTGCCATTATCTGTGCCCTTTGACAACCCTTGTTATGAAAAGAAAAAAAAAAAAAAAGAAAAAGAGGTTATTTTAATGCAAGTATCTGTGCTCTGTGTGTGCTTAATGGAATGGGGATTGGCATGGAACACCTTCAGGGGATTTTGCAAGGGGAGCCCCTAATTTCTAAGTTCTAAATAGCCTTAAGCACAAGCTACAAAGTCTCAGAGTAACTGAGATAGCAGGTCTTTAAGTAGCTATATCAGGTTTGTGTCAAAACTCCCTTATCTGTGCGGTTTCAACAACCCTTTTGGATTTTGGTGTCTAAATTCCACCTAACATTTAAAAACGAAAATTCTGTAAGATGTTTTCTCTGCTCTTCTGCACTGATGATAGTATTGTAGTTTCTGCACTGATGATAGTATTGTAGTTATTAACAGTACTCCCGTTAATTGCAGCAAAAAACACTATCCATCCACCCAACTTCTTGTATCCCAATGGTGTGATGATCCTTGAAGCAGAGCTTGGTGAGTTTTGATTCCTTATCTGAAAGTGAAAGAAAATGTTTAAATGAGATATTAATAAAGATCTGGATAAAGCAAAGCAGCTTTGCCTTCTAGGAGTATGAGAATTTTATACAAAATGTGTTTTTTTGCTTGGTATGTATCTTTGTGGATATTAAAGGAAGCATCATGTGTTATATAGATCCCAGGCTTTTTACGAGAAAGATATTCTGGTAACCTACATGCATGATTTTCCTGATTTAATTTGTTCCAGGAAAGCCACTTGAATTGGAATGCCGCGTACAGTTTGGGTTTGAAAGAGCTTCTCTGATGAGGGTAACATGGAAAAGAAACAACAAAGAAAATATAAACGAGAAATTGAATCAGGAAACGCGGTAGGAAAATATCCCAGTAGTCTGATTAGTACTAAAGTCAGCAGCTATAAAAATCCTTCTACAACTTTACCTAATACATTTTATTGAAAGAAACTCAGAAGGCTCTGTTCTTCAATTTATTAATGTGTATGTCCATGAGCATGTGACAGGCACAGGCACTTCACTTACAAAAGCACATAATGATGACCATAAAGTGAAGAACTCAAACTTTTTGCACAATTTTAACTCTTCTTCCTAAAGCTTTAGCCCTTGGACAGCTTCAGTGTGAGTGGTGCTTGGTTGCCTTTGCCTGTATCAGCTCTTTTCAAGTGTTCCCTCTGTTGTACCTTGCCAGCAACTCACATGTTCTGTCTTCTGAAGCTGCCCCTGAAAGGGGAATCAACCATATCAGTAAAACAGTACTGTGGACATACTGAAAAGAGTTCGGGTGCCTCAGATGGTGGGGTTAGGCAGTCTGAGGACTGAATTTCAGGACACTGAATTTCAGGATTCTCCCCTGACAAGAATTAACCAGACCCTGTAGAAAAGCCACATGCAGGGAAAGATTTTCTGTGACCTGGGGACAACCCGTATAGTCACTTTTTCAGTGTCCAGCTTGGGCAAGAAACAGTGAAGACAACACAGGCAAGTGTGTCTCTCACTACACAGTCCTGAGTCATCTTTATGAGGAAAATTTTCTGTACACCATGAAAAGCTAAAGTCCTGCTGCCATTGCTAAAATTCAATTATTAATAGGAGTCATATGGGAAAAAAGAAATTATGATATTACACACACACATGCACATATTCATGCTCATGTGGTAGATTAGAAATTTGATTTTTCTGATTTTTGAACGTTTAGCTTTGTAATGTTCTTCTTACCAGGTTTTTAGCTTTTTGCATACAATTTCTGATCATTTTTTAAAAACCCAAATGACTAGAACATTCCCAACAGACTTTTGGTACAGGTTGAATTCTTGCCCATGCTCATGCTTATATACCTTGAGTTAGCAGAAGTACGGCCATGGTAGACTGTCGTTTTGCAGTGTCAAGATGTGAGATGCCTTCAGGACCACCAAAAAGATGCCTGTACTTGTGGCTTTCAAAGAGAAACGCCAAGACACAGAAACCCTGGGTTCTAGAGTTTTTGAAGACACACATCTGTTCCATACAACCCCCACTCAGCCCCAAAGGGATTCCTTTGTTAACTCTTCATTTCCCATGCTTTTGTCCCTTATATCTTAATCTATTTGCCTCTCTTGTCCTTGGGCTTTTTACCACTGTGCAAGAGGCTGTGCTGCTCAGTCTTTTTGCCCATCTAGTTCTTTCTTGTGGCTCCTTTTGAAGTTTCATTTCCCTCCATTTCTACCCTGAGAATTTGTTTTACATCTTAGAAGACCACAAATACTCATACAGAAGTCAAAGGGGGCTATATATTTAAAACTAGGCAAGTGCTTAAGAATTTTGTTGAGTTGATGAATTAAGAATAAACCCTTCAGTCTGCACGCTATTGATGTTAGTAGTATTTTCTTTCAATGTGAAAAACAAATGGAAGTTTCAAACCAGAATATCACATCATTGTTAAAAGTTCAAGATGAGTGTTAAGAAGTTGCAAACTCCTCTTTGAGTTTAGGACATTTGAAGATGGTGTACATGAGCAGCAAAGTTATCATGCAAATAAATATTTTTCTCTCTTTAGTGTTTATCCAGAAGGTTTAAAGGGGCACACACTTCTTCATGTTGCAAAACTGAAAGAAGTTACTGAAAGTGACCTTGGAAGCAACTTCACGTGCTTTGCTGAGAATTCAGTGGGGAATGCCACAGCTATGATCCAGCTGAAAAGAAAGCAGAGAGGTAAAAGTATCGATGGATGACTATTTGCCCTTGAAGACACGTTGTGATTTGCTGCTACAAATTCATTCTGCATTGACACTTTAGCCAGCTGCAGAAATTTCTTGAAGCTGGCTGGGAAAGTTTGATTCGCCAGATGTCTAGAAAGGCACTTTATTCTGACTACTTAGAAGGATGGGGCTATATGGGAACTTACTGCAGGCAAGTGGGCCAATTGCAAGCTGGAGAGTGACTGGAAGAAAAGGAGAGTAGCATTTCTCAACATTAATAGTCAGTCTACTAAACCAAATCAGAGCAGCTGCTGAAAGCAATAGTATTCCTTGATTTTCATAGGACATTTCTGTTTATTTTCCCAGTCCTTAGCATGCATGTTTCTGAGAAGTTACCATAGCTGGTATGAATGTGGAAGCCTTTCAAGCAAAGACCGAAACTAGAGTGTTGAAATTAAACAATTGAACCATAATTCACAGTGGAGATTCATCTTTGGAGTGGCACAGGAAGTCTCCAGCAGGGCACTGTGTGTGCTCTGATGTGACAATTCCAAACCAAGTGATGACTACTTTCAGCCTTGCTGAGTGCGCCACAGACCATTTTCTATGTGCTTTCCATCACAGATTAGCTTTTAATACCATCAAAGAGAGTCTATTCAAAAAAGGTCCCTGGTGGTAGACTGAAACTCTGTTAAAGTTTGCAGCTAAATATCTTCCTGACTTCTCTAAGGCCTGCCAGTGGCGTAAGAAAGAAGATTGTGAGGCAGTTTGCCCCCGTTTTTGGACTGAATTTTTCATCTAGAGTGTTAATATTATTTTGGAAAGCCTGAATTATGATAGACCCTTTTCTTTCTACAGTGTTTCTCTTATATGTCCTGTGCAGTGCCATTTCTATTCTATTTGCATTACTTTTGTGCACTGCCTTTATTTACCAGCACTGGATTGAAATAGTGCTGATGTACCGAAGTTATCTGGTCCACAATGAAACCATGGGAGGTAAGAAATGTTGCACAATATTAATTTTATTCATATTTTCTACTGCCTTTTTCCATGTGGGTTAATCTGGTGGGAATTAACTGTTTAATTAAATTCTCTTACTGATGCTGCTCTCTTTGAGTCAATACAAATGCTGCTAAAACTAGCAAGACATCCAGTGGGTTTAGATGGAAAAAAAGCCAGGCAGTGGGGAGGAAGTATCTAACACCAACTGAAATGTCACAGTTAGCCTTTTACAAGATCTCTTATTTAACCAGGTTAGCATAGGTAGTTGAATTTTGGCAGTCCCTTTTCAGGGGATAGTAGAGCATCTCCAACATTTGAACCTCATTCTCCAAAAGTGTTCAACAGAACCTGTGGATAAGAATCAAATATCCTTGCAGAACTAAGTGAAGAACTCCAGAGCCTATTGTGTTTTTCACTTGAAGACAATAATTTCTCAGAACAATAAACAAAGAAGAAAAATAAGATGATACAGGGCACCGATTGAGAAGTGTACATTCGGGAAATATTTATATTTCCTTTCTAAAAATTATGTTTACCATCTTGACACTTACATTAGCAATCAGCTTCTGATATTTCAAATCTTCATAGTAGCATCACTCCATCATCTCAGCTAAAATGGGTCTCCAACATAGTAGGCAGTATGAAAATGCATCAGAAATGACTGTTACTGCTTTAAAGAACTTAACATATAATTTTCTTACATGAGTTGAAAGAAATCTGGCAGTATGTAACTAAGGAAATTTTTCTAAAAATTCTTGAATCTTGATGCAGATTGAGACAGAGGTGTCTCGGTCTGCTTTTGTGTTTGCATGTGTGTATGTGCATTATACGTGAGTGTGAAATAACTGGATCTAGTTATCTATAAATACATATGTAATGAGAGACAATTAACTGCCCTTTTGGAAAGTATTTCTGTGAGCCCTAAGGCAGCTGGCAAAAGTGATTTGGGAAATCACTGAAAATTTCCCCTCTATTTGGTAACAAATTGATTTAAGAACCTCTGGAAAGTCCCCTTGGAGATCACCCCATATGTCAGTAGGACAAGGAAAGACCTGCCAAGATTCGTGCATTGAAGTTGAAGACACAGTTGTGTTCCATTGTGGTGGCTTCTGTCCTTCTCCCTGATTCTCATGTACCACACGCACACAGTACCATTCACAGTGTGGGTGCATGGAGTGTACAGGCCAATTGTGCCTACCCAGTTAGCTTTTTGCCTAAGGGGATTGGCCATAAAATGTGTTCTCACCTGTTGGATTATGTCCTACTTAAATACGTATCTATGGAAACCGAACATTAAGAAAGAAGCCAAATGCTTCAGACAGATTTGCTAATGTATAGTGTTATTTATTTATTTTAGATGGCAAAGAATTTGATGCATTTGTGTCCTATGCAAAACTGGACTCTTCTGAAAGTGACTCAACTCTAATTAGTGAAGAAAAGTTTGCCCTGGAGCTTCTTCCAGATATACTCGAAAATAAATATGGATACAAGTTATGCATTCTTGAAAGAGATATTCTTCCAGGAGGAGGTAAGGTCCCTGTGGATGATAAAAAATCTTCAGTTCTTTATAAAAATGTTTTTCACTTTCCATAAAACATTATGCACCAGATCAGCAAATGGTATATTTTGGTACAGGAATTTCTGCTCAAATCTCATGCTGTTTTGATCTTTATGTCTGGCCTCTGCGCCTAAGGCATACATATGTTTAAGTGCGATCTCTGGGAGCTACTAGGCTGAGATAAAGCTTCTTATCGAAGAATTTCTTTGCAAGCAGACTCCATTCACTGAAAAGAAGACCACAGATATTTCAGTAATTACTTCCTGAGCTACTTTGGTCAATGCTAGCTGCAGTAATTAGAAAGCCCTCAGTACCTGCCCCTGGGGAGACAAAGACAAGTCCAAGTGCCCTTTGAGACTTTTAAGTAGCAACAAAGTGGGTTTACATGTCAGCTCTGTCCTCTACCTCCTGAGCAGCAAATTTAATTCTCCAGGCTGTGTATGAACAACAGCAGCACCCTCTGATAGCAAAGACATGTATAGGGGTTATGTGATTGCTTAGCATCCGTATTTTTGGTTTCCTTATTTCTGGGTTTTAGCTGTCTATAAAGGAATTGATAAGGTATAAAGTCCATTATAGAATGCAGTAATGATTGTTGCCATTTCTTCTCCAGCATACACAGATGAAGTTGTTACAGCTATTAAACAAAGTAGACGAGTAATAATCATTTTGAGCCCAGCCTACGTCAGTGGGCCAAGCATCTTTGAACTGCAGGCAGCAGTGAACTGTGCCTTGGAAGACAAAAAGATCAAACTGGTATTAATAAAGTTCCAGGCTTTCCAAGAGCCAGAGACTTTGCATCCAGTAGTGAAGAAAGCTCTTCGGATATTACCAGTCATTACCTGGGAGTCTTCTGTTTCTGCTGCTCCAAATAAGTTCTGGAAATATATGCATTACCACATGCCAGTGAAAACTACCAAGATGTTGGGAAATTGGAGCTTAAAGGACTTTTTCCTAAGGTTATTCAGCCTGGTATATCGATAGCAGAAATTTCACAGAGGGGTGATGACAGCAGGCTCAGAAATGGTGACATGGCTGTAAAGGGCCTTTTCTGCACTGGCTGACCACTGTGGATTGAAACTACTGTCAGCAATAGCTCACTCCAAAACACTGAGAAGGACTGCAGTGTGACAGTGCTGCAGCTCCACAGTAAAACTAAGTGGCACTGCACACAAATGTAAATGTGAACTGTTTTTCATAAATTATTTCTGTATTATTTTTATTGTATTTATTATATTTTGCTGTGGTGTTGAGACATACATGTGAATGCTTTGTTATTTGTACTGTATTTCTTCTGGAATATTTTTATATTCGTTTTCTAGAAAAATATTAAAAAAGGGGACTCCAGAGAAAGCTTGAACTTTAATTTTCCTGTGCAGTCCAGTGGGACAAATCCAAAGTCTTTAAATGAGTCACCTCCTCCTGTGGGAGCACCAAGAAAGTGCCATGGGAGACTGTTACCACTGGGTACGCCAAATGAGCTGAGAAAAGAAGGAGCACTGTATCAAGTCTGATCCCAGGCATCTCCATCATTCCTGCAATGAGAGAAAGCATTCCTACCAGCTGTGAAACCTTTCCTACTCTCAGACATCTGCATATTGCTGATCCTGCCTGGTGCTGGTCACTCACAAGTCCCATTGAATCTCTTGGTATTATTGGTATCTTGCAGTTGTAAATCAAAGTCCTGGTTGTCACAGCTGGTAGACTTCCAGGGACTTTGAAGTCTTTCTTTTCTAGTCCTCTGGCTGCTAACTCTCCAGGGTTCATATCACTTACTTTCAAGGCATCTTGCTGTCTGTAGCTGTCAAATGCAGTGGTTACTGTTAAGAAAATCTGAGCAGGAGAGCCACTGATTCGGTGTTCTGCTGACTTCATTTGGCCTTCAAGTTGAAAAATCACTGCTTTATAATGCTAATTGAATAGTTCATCTGCCAGATTTCTTGTTGGAAAGGGACTTCAAGAACTGCTGTTAACAGAACCGGTATACTGAAAAACCACCCTAACTCTTCTGCAAGCAGCTTTTAATCAACACTACTAGGTTCGTAGACTTTGTTAACCTAACACTAAACATGGTAGTTTTTGTGGAGGAGAGAAGAGGCTGACCTTTTAAAGAAATATTCTGTATGGGTGAATGTCGCGTTCAGGGGGGATAATGTAGTTGTCCAGTAAATGCCTTGCTGGCATGAGTAAAACAAATGCCAAATATAAGACAACTCAAGATAGAGTTTTAGGCATGTGATGTAATTCAGACCTTCTTCTTTCTTTTGTTATTATGTGCTAAATTACGTTCATGAATTTAGGGGAGAGAACACGTTTCTAAACAAGAAGGCAATTTGCGTGGTCCTCCACCAGATGTCCCTACTGTAAGCCCTGCAGAGCACATTTATTTACACGCCGAGCAGCTCTGTTCCCAGCTGAGAAAGGACCAGTGAGCAATGCCAAGTGTGGTGGTATCTGAGGTTCCAGTTGCACTGGGGAGACAGACAGGGAGTGAGGGCAGAAGAGGAAGGTATGGAGCAGGCTCTCCTGCGTGCACAGGGTGCCACCATTTCACCCACCTGATACTATTCACTTGAGCTGTACTTGCTACCTGAATTTTTTTGTTTGACAGTGGGAAAAAGAAATCAGAGTGGCTGGATAAATAATATAGTTAGAAAGGGCTTTTATTCCTTAACAGGGTGATGCTGTTGCTGAGGTTTATCTAGGTTGAAGGAACCTGCAGAACCGGTATCTTTATACAAACTCTAGGTCCGTCTGTAATACAAGGAACAGGACAGGCACATTAGGGCTTTTAAAACGACATCTAAAAGGCAAATGAAGCAGCCCTGAGGAAGAAGCGGCCATGGATACGAGCAGCGCGAAGCAACAGGAGTGAGTGTTGCATACCTTCATGCACCCACTCTACGCTGTATCTGTAATAAAACAGTCAGAGGCAGACATGGGCTCTGCCACACTTGTACGTGCAATGCTTTTGAACTGGTTGCTCTTGCTGTTGAGTCTGGTATGCTGTTCTGCTGCGGCTTATGTGGATGAGCCCAACCTGAGCAACAGTTTCTTGCCTCACTATGAACCTGATCAGGCTGTTGGCTCTTCACAAGATACGAGGCTACATGTTTTCACAGTGGACTATGGCTATGTGCAAATTCCCTATGAAGTTACTCTTTGGATCCTCCTTGCCTCTCTTGCAAAAATAGGTAAGTAGAAAATGGGATCTTGGGTCCTCCTACCTCAGCAAGAAGTTAAAAACATACCAGGTAACCAAGTATCTTCCATGCACTTTGTAGCTGGGATTGTTTTTACAGCTTCTGTCCTCAAAAGAAAAGGTGTGTTCATTACCATGGCAATGACAAAATTCCAGCTCTGAATGCTTCCAGCTTACTTAGGTAAATATATGACCTCTAACCCTCCTGTCTCCTGGGTTGTCTATGTTAGTGAGTAGAAACGGAGCTGCCCTACACAGTGCTGTCCATCCCTTTCTCTAATTTTTAAATGTCACAAGTTACCAGAATCTACAACGTGCCACAGCTGTAGAAATCAGTAACACCAGCTGAGCCTTCAAGTGATTTGAATTTGGGTGAGAAAAGTGGGGAGAATTCTTCCATTGTGTAAATAATAGGAAATATTTCCCTTTGAGTCTTTGTTTTACGTGTTTGCTATTTATAGTTGCTCAGAAAGTAATACCAGAGGAGAGAGACTGAGAGTCTGAGTGTAGGTCATTAGAGATGTAGGGTAAGTGCCTTTTCAGTACATACCAATGCATCCAGCTTCTATTAAAACTCCCTGTAGGTATCTGAATGAAGAAAGACGACTCATGGGGAGGTAGGAACTGCAATGAACATAGCAAAAAATGGCTCACCATGTGTCATACATGTTTGCATGACTGGGTTCAAAGTATTTTGACCATTCAGAATTAATGCAGCAACATCAAATAAATGAAGAAGATAGTACTAAAGTGAAGAGCTGCGCACATGCGATCTCCCTGTCCTTTTGATCTCTCCATGGGATTTTTCAGAAGTTACTATGGAACAGGCTGGGAGGTGGGACCCATGGTTTTCTGGAGGTGGCCTGAAAATAAACATTTTTCATGTCATAGTCCCACAGTTGACAAAAACTGTTACCACTGGCCATGATTTGCCAGCTTTATAATAGCTGATGATCTCAATCCAGTTCCTATAAATAAATTCTTCACTGCTAAACTAATAATAAAGATTTTCACAAGTCAAGTCTGCTGTTATGGTGTCAGCAGAATGTGACAATAGCAGTGAGCGTATTGATCAATTTCTTCATCATCCATAAAAGCACAGGACTTGCCATATTATAATTTTCTTGGTTTGAGCAAGAAACAGATGTTATAGAAGAACTGTGTGATGCCTTCCAAGCATCCTCCAAAGCAAACTTGTTCCTTAGCCAGGGGTTTTCAAGTAATATTATTTTCATTGAAAAATGTGGAGCTGCTGACTCAAAATCTATTTGGTAGGAAGAGTTAGTCTGAATAATCTGGTTACCTAGGGAAGAAGATTTCCAAACCGTTAAACTTTTCTGTGTTCTATTCAGGCATTATCTTCTTTCCAGATTTCAGGATTCCAGGGTGGGAAACATTTCTGAGACCTTGAAAGACAAAACAATCCCCTTATCCTGTAAAACTGACAGAAGAATTGAACGAGATTTTTTTTAATTAGAAAAGTAGATGAGAGAAGCTATGATCTTAACATACTTTCCAGTATTTCAAATAATCTCCGAAATAAATTATTTAAAATGTCATGCAAATATTTTTCTTTTTCTTCAGTGTTTAACATAGATAATTTGAGGGTTACAGAAGCGCAGTCATGGTATTAACTTCTGGAGTTATGGAATGAAATTTGACCTAGCCTCAGGCATGGAGACACAGCCACTGGATTTAAAGGCTTATTAGTCTGCCTCATTCTCATTCTTGTAAATTCTGAATAATTCCTTAAACTTCTAATAAAAGAACCTCTCATTTACAGTATAATGACACAGTTCCTGGTAAAGTAACTAGATGAGCCATTGCTAGACATTGTCTTGGTATTGGTATCAGTATTTGTGTCAGATGGGAAGAATTATGCAAATGCAGTTGCACTAGTAGTACATCAAGGTGGGCAGGAGATTCATACCCACAACATTTATATTGGTAAGTATGACCCTTTTTCTGTAAAACAGCTTGGCTACATCTATGCTTGTAAACTACCAAGCACCCTGTTGGGAAGCTGTGTGTGACTGTCCATACCACATCAGTGCTGGCGTGTTCCTTCTCAGCTATGACTCGTTGACAAGCCTTCTCCCAGGCAGTGCTTAGGCAGACTTGTGGGCCAACATATGTTCCCACAAGCAGTTTGGATGTGACCACTATTTGCTGGAGTAGGGAAGAGAATTTGGCTGTATGGATGCAGCCTGAACCTTTCTGCTTTGAAAATTCTCTGGCCTGATTAATTTGCTATAGTGTAGACCCAACCTTTTTTCTAGTAAGGGAAAAAAAAATCAAACCCTTAGGATGCATTATTTTCTCAGATACTTAATGGCTGTTGGTAGCTCTTTCAGCTCAGCTGAAATCATCGGTTTTCTTTCAGTAAACTAAGTCATAGGGTTCTTTACACTATGTAGGAACAGCAGTTTTCCCAGAAATACAAGGTTAGTCATCTTGTACAATGCCTTATATTACTGTGGCTTGATTACTGCTGCTTTGGATATGTTATTGTTCATGAGTACTCAGCCCCTCTGTGGATAGCCTTGAGTCCATTTCACACTTCAGGGGAGTGCTGGAAGTGGAGGGAGCTCAGCAGATGATGGCATCTGGGCTGCTCCCTTGGACTTCTCCAGATTCCTGGTCAGCCCAAATCCAGCAGGAGCTCTGCAGCCAGTAAGCCTCCACAGCACTGGGCGGGGGGGGAAGCTGCCTTGGAACCTGCAGCCAGGGAGAGGGTATCTTTGAGATGGAGGGACAATACTGTGCCTCAGAGGTTTGGCAGTAGCAGTTTGGCAGCAAGGACTCTTGAAGAATGCTTTCTTTCCAATTTGTGGAGCACAATTTCAAAGAAATTTCTGCATTCTTAGAAGTAGAGCTTAGACTCAGTCACACTTGTTCAGAGGTTGAGAGCTGGGGAGCAGGTAGACAAGAAATTTTTTGCCAAAGTCTTCCTCTGCTTTAGAAGTACAAGTCTGGGAATGTTTCATTTTGAAGGGAACGGTACTGCCTGTTTTTACATTCATAATCTAAAGAACAATACCTGGCTGTCTGATGACAAAGTATTTGAAGGCAGGCAAAACATCTGTCTGACATCAAGTTAATTTAAATTGGAATAATACCCTAATGTTTTATTCAAGGTTTCCACCTCTATCACCGATTACCCAGACTCATGCCTGAAAGCTGCATCCTGATTGTCATTGGAGCACTAGTAGGAGCAATCATTTTTGCTTCAGATTACAAATCTCCACCGGTGATGGACTCAAGTATTTACTTTTTGTATCTCCTTCCACCCATCATCTTAGAGGAGGGTTATTTCATGCCAACTCGCCCATTTTTTGAAAACTTTGGGTCCATCCTGTGGTGGTCTTTGCTGGGATCTCTGCTAAACTCATTTGGAATTGGCTTCTCCCTCTATGGGATCTGCCAAATAGAAGCCTTCGGCCTGACTGACCTGGACCTGCTGCAGAACCTGCTCTTTGGCAGCATGATTTCAGCTGTGGATCCTGCGGCAGCTCTGGTAGTTTTCGAAGAAGCCTCCGTTAATGAGCAGCTCTACATGATGATCTTTGGAGAGTCATTGCTAAATGGTGGCATCACTGTGGTGAGTCTCTTTCTGCTCCTTGTCTTCCCTTCTTTAGGCTCTTGTGGCTTGTAGGGTTATTTGGCAAAGGACAAGAGCAGCTCTAAGGAGATCCTAGATACATTATTTATGTTGTGGATACTCTATTCCATCACACACAAGTAATTTTAATGTATGTAAAGATTACATCTTATATTAACTCTTTAAAAAGCATATTGTGTTAGATCCGATAGGAGAGGGAAGCATAGACCACATCTTGCTTGTGCATTCACTTAAGTGAATAGATAAGCTAAGGCTGATTTCACTGGTAGGATCAGTGTAAGACCTAGAAAAAATTCTTGTTATTGTGCAAGCAGGTAAATAGAAAATTCTGCTGCTTAAAGACATTCTACTGCTTAACCTTCTGCAGCAGGGATAAAAACACAGGACACCTTCCTTGTCACACGCCGTAGAGAGCACTCTGCAAAAAAACCCCAGCCAAACCAGATGTGAACAACCTCCTGCTTCTCCTAGGAAATTCCCCAGAGACCTTAGACAGGGATTCCAAAAGCCACTAATAACTTTGCATAACCATGTTTCTATCAGTAAAAAATTAATATCTGAAAAATATTCACCTTTCTCAGATGTCTTATCTTAAGTGTCCAGAAACAGTGCTTCAGGAATAGGAGAGATTTTGTTTGTTGGGGTTTTGGTTGGTTGGTTGATTGGTTCAGGTGTGTTTTGGGTGTTTTAATATGAAAAAATGTTTTTTACAGAACTCATCTTGCTAATACTTTTCTAAAAGTTTGCTAAAACTTGGAGCAACCTGAAATTCTACCTGCAAACCGCAACTGACAAAGTCAGAAGATATGTGGTTTTCAAGGAAGAGATTTCAAGCAGGAAATTCAAGCACAGAAACTAACAGGACTGCTCATGTGCTGCAAGTTAACTGCAGGTTAAGGAGTTTTGCTAGATAAGATCTTTACAGAATTTTAATCACAGGAATCTAGAACACATAAAAACTATTCTGATGCTGTTATACATGAGGTACAGCACAACTTGGACTTTAAAATCTGTGCAGAGTTCACTGCTGAAAGGTTTTGGGGGAGAAGTGCAGCTTATGAGCAATGCAAAAAGGAAAAGGAATGAAGTAATTTCTTGCAAACCCTTCCTCTTGGTGAATCACATGTAGGACTGATGTTAGGAATAAATGTTAATTAACTTTACATGCAAACTGCTTGTGTATTACAGTTGTAACAAAATAATCCAAATGCATCTATCACTTTCACCTGCCTTCTTGGTTCCTTCACATGCAGACCTCAAAAAGTAATACCTCTTCCTCACACTGGGAAAGCTTGTTTCATCCTTTTTTTGACTGGCTCTTTACATTGCCTTCCCTTTGTTCCCAGCTGTTATTTATGATGTGGATCCAGCTCATGGTATTTACATGAGCTTTCAGTCAGCATCCTGCTACAGCATAAATGTGTAGTGACACCCTTTAAGAACACTGGTTTGTAGGCATTCCCCAGCAACACTAGGTAAGTCAGCAAAAGAGATGAAAGGGCTGTACACAAGGAGTGCTGGCTACACCACTGTGACTTCCATTTGCCCCACATCCTCTCATCTTTGGGGCTCTTCTCAAAGCAGCTGTGTTGCAATCAGTTTGTCAGCTCTTGCTGATGCATCTGTGCATTACCCACATCTCATCCATTTTCAGGACATTCAGATCTTCAGAATCTCTACCTAGTTTCATGTTTGAGGAGACTGAAATAACTGTCACCTGTATGGAGCCCAATAGGTGTATTTCTCCTCTCTGATACCCCTCTTGCTTTTTTAAAGGCTTTAAAACTGTGTATCTTAGGCGTCTCAGTTCCTCCCTTTTTTCTCTTAATAGTTTCCTTCAAGTTAACTCTATGTGTTTAAAAAGATAGTATCACCAAGATATATTAAGCATACATACTTTTTATATTGTTTAAATGCAAATATCCCCTGGTTCTCTCCAGTCTGCTTATCAGCTTGAACATACTTTTTTTCCCCAGCAGGAAAAACTGGTATGAAATTTCTGAACTTGTGTATTATTTGAGCATCAACAGCTCCTTCTCCCATATTTAGTTCAATATCCTGGTATAAATTTTTTTTCAAAATTACAGGCTGCGGAACGTGAATCATTACTTAGGAGTTATGCATTTGACTTAAGGGACAGAACAAAAGTGCTTAATTTACCTTTTTTTACCCATTTGTACCTTCTCCTATTCTCCTCGGTAGGGCCATGTCTATGGGTGGAACAAAAGGCTGTAGGTCCTGCTAATTTCTTCCTGTTCCAGTTGCTTCTGAGCCGACTGTTTGCATCAGAAAAGTGCGGAGAGCAACAGGACTGTTCCTAGTATGTATCATACACTAGTGGATTTTCAAAGCCCTGTTCAAAACAGCAGTGATGTTAAATTCAGTGCAGGTTTCATTCAAACCTGAACACAGCTGGAGGACGTGATTTTGCTGGGAAGTGTTTCAGGCATCGGAAACTCTGCTCCCACACATACACAGACCATTTCTGTCCCAACAGGAGCTGAACACCTGCGTGCATGAGGAAACAGAATATTTCCCCTTACTACTTCATCTCCGAGGCCTCATTTTAGAAATGCTGAGAACACCTATGCCTCATGCTGTAGTCAAAATGAAGTGGCAGTGACCATTTTTTTCTAATGGTGCCCTCTCTTCTTTGTATGCAGTAGCAGACCATTTAAAGAAATCTAGTGCATGATGGAGATGCAAGTAAAATTAACTTCTTTATTTGAGGGGATTTGAATTTACTCTTGGATGTTTCTGAGGAAGGCTTTGACCACTGGGATGTATGGGTGCTAGGAAAGAGGATGAAGATATTCTCTGCTCTGGTTGTTGAAGCTGACCCACTGTGTTCAGAGTAAAATTAAATACATGTGGTCAGGATGGAAAGAAAGAGTTATGAAGGCTGCTTGTGTCAGTGGTTAAGATGGCCGCTTTAAAATCTTTTTTCCAGAGCTTCTGATGTGGATGGCATGTGCAATGTATGTATCATATAGACTGCTGGAGCAGGGACCTGTCCCTCGGGAGGTCCCCTGTGGGCAACAGTGTCACGCTGTCTCTTCCTCTCCCTAGCTTAAACAGCCACCCAGTGGTATGCCGCTACATGGTAATGTCCTCTCCAAAAAACCCAAAGCATGACATTCTCACAGTTGTTAAATGAGGCCAGCTATCAATACATCCCTTCACTGGGTGAACAAAGGCATCCTAAGCTGATTCAGGCTTTCCGACCATGTAAAAATTATAATACTCAATTTACTGGCATAAACACCACAGTGTCTAATCCGCTCTAGTGAGAACCCACCTGGGATACTGCATCCAGCTCTGGAGTCCTCAGTACAGTAAAGACATGGACCTTTTAGAGAGGGTTCAGAGGAGGGCCACAAAAATGATCAGAGGGATGGAGCAGCTCTCCTATGTAGACAGTCTCATTTTTCTTCTCAGCCGGAAGAAGAGAAAGCTCTGGGTAAACCTAATTGCAGCCTTTCAGTACTTAACAGGGCCTATAAAGAAAGATGGTGAGAGACCTTTTAGCAGGGCCTGCTGTGACAGGACAACGGATGATGGTTTCAAACTAAAAGAGGAGAGACTCAGGCTGGATGTGAAGAACAAATTTTGTACATTGAGGGTGGTAAAACACTGGCACAGGTTGCCCAGAGAGGTGGTGGATGCACCATCCCTGGAGACATTCAAGTCCAGGTTGCATGTGGTTCTGGGTAACCTGATCTAGCTGAAGATGCCCCTGCTCATTGCAGGGTGGGTTGGACTAGATGACCTATGAAGGTCCCTTCCAACCCAAACCATTCTATGATTCTATGATTCTAAATGGAGCTTTATTTGTATAATGCAGTTCAGGATGTTGTATCGAAGAGTTTACTCCAAAAAAAAAAAGTTATAAAAAATGAAAATTATGTCATATTTTCATAATTTCCATTTTAATCCACCAATGATAGCATATAGACACTTTAGGAACCAGAAAAAGGGAGAAAAAATTACTAAGTAAGATTTTTCATCACAAATTTCTGCAGAAAAGAAATTTTGACACTGACAAACTTATCTGATCTAAATTAAATTACCTTCACAGACCAAATTATACAATGTATGAAATTAATTCTTTCGTTTAATCTGACATTCTTTTTATTTTTGTCATTTCAAGCCTTCTAGTCAAAATATATGTGTGAAGGGTCTTTAGGCCATTTAAAGTGCCACAGCTTTTGATCCCCACTTTGCAATCAAGACAGAGTTCCTGTATTGTGAGACTAGAGAGGCTGTATTTATCTAGCTAGAGTCAATATGAAACTGAGGCTTCCATATTTCCCTTGCTTTGCCTTGCCTTCCCTCTACTGCTTCTTTTCCCATTCTCAGTGATTCACAATTTTTATGTGTCAAATACTACTGAAAAACATTTAACATTCCCCAGTCTATCTAATGAAGTGTGTCCACTCTACAGATCATATAGACAATCTAAATGGGATTTAAATCAAAAGTGTGATTCTTAGTCACTGCCCTGCCCCATCCTGAATCAGAAAGAGAGCATGGAGGGTAGAGCCTGAGGTTGATAGGTACCCATCTGGCCTTAAACATCTGCTACAAAGACCAGTTATTAAGTTCACTTTCAGAAAACAAACAAAACAAAGAGTATTTTTTTTGTTACTTGAATTGCATTTGATCCCCTAGAGTTTTACTCTTGTTACATAACCGTCTACCCTTCCTGGTTTTGCTATTTTTTGAAGTGCTTAGCAGACCCTCATTTCTGGGACTTGTTAAGAAGGGCTGAGGTTTCAACTGTTACTTTGCTGATCCATTTAAAGCAATTTCGGGTACACACACACACAGAGCTATGAGGTGAGTAAGCCTGCCAGGTTCATCAAGACACCTGACTGTTGTCTCCTTATTTTCACTTGTAGGTTTTATATAACATCTTCATCGCCTTCACCCAGATGCACAGGTATGAAGAGATCGAATCCATCGACGTCTTTGCTGGCTTCGCTCGCTTCTTCGTGGTGGGGCTAGGTGGCATGTTGTTTGGCATTGCCTTTGGATTTGTTTCGGCGTTCATGACTCGATTCACCCACAACGTTTCTGCTATTGAACCCCTGCTGGTCTTCATGTTCAGCTACCTGGCATACTTGTCCGCTGAAACCCTTTACATCTCAGGCATTTTGGCGTGAGTATCTCTGATGGCTTTTCAGATGACCTCTGGAGGGAAGTATTATTACTTCGAGGAGGGGATTTGCATGAGGTTGGTACAATACAGGCATTTTCAGTCTCTGTCCCAGAGATCTGCAGTGGAAGGCTTCTAAAAGATCTGTAAAATGCAATGCTAACTAGGAAATGCAAACCTACAGTCAGCATAAGTATAGATGTACTATTGAGGAGTGCATATCTGCTCTGAAACTTTTTAGATTTTTGCCTATTGAAAAAAACCCTGCAAACTGTGGGTGAAGTGACTAGTGCTGCCACCGTCTGTCTGCTGCCTCTGATAAGATCAGCAGAATGAGAGAATCATTTGACAATAGGTCAGAGTATCTACATTTATTTCTAAGCAGCATCACCATCAGATTACAAGAGAGATGGAAAGTAATGAGTATGCAAACATAATAAAGAATGTCTAAGGTTTTGCTTTTGTACACAGCTGTGAACATCAGCCCTAACAGACTTTACTGGAATTACTTTACATTTGAACAGCAGCATTGGAACTGACAGTGGACAAAACCAGACAGCCAAGGACATCAAGTATATATGCATACATATAGTCATGCATATGGATATTGGTGATCATATTTTAATGTGATCAGGATAGCTTGATGCTGCTGTAATGCTAGTGACTGCTTCCTGCAGTTAGAAAGCTGAAAGCTCTATTGACCATAGTAAATGAAGAGAGGATGAGTACTGTCCGAAGGAAAGAGGGCAGCATCAGGAAAGGAGTCAGAAGAGAAAGGAAGGAATAGGGGTGAAAGTGAGAGACTTTACAAGAAAGCTGCTGGGAGGTGAATTTCAAACATAATACTGATTTTCAAACAAATAATGAATAATGAATTTCAAACAAAGAGCTCCTCAGCTAGGTAAAGAAATGGGAACCTGATGATAGTAAATTCTCCAGCTGATGTTGGTGGCTGCTGCAGTCTCAGTGCCTAGCTGTTGGGTGGAATCAGCCTTGAATGCCTTGTGTTGGCTCTGATCTTGCATGCTAGGTCTTGCAGGTACTGGTGATCCAGAAAGGAGTCCCTTTTATTGAGGACAAACCAATTTAAACCTAACAAATACAAGTATGTGGCCGCTGATGTTCAGACAGCTGCATTTACTCACCTTCACTTGTCAAAGCCTGATTTCATGGAATCATAGAATCATAAAATATTTCAGATTGGAAGGGACCTTTGAAGGTTATCTAGTCTAGGGGCAATGACCAGGGGCATCTTCAACTAGATCAGGTTGATCAGAGCTCCATCCAGACTGACGTTGAATGTTTCCACAGATGGGACATCTACAGCCTCTCTGGGCAACCTGCTCCAGTGTTTCACCACCTTCATTGTAAAAGATTTCTTCCTTATATCTAGTCTAAATCTACTAAAATCTTTTAGTTTAAAACCATTACCCCTTGCCTATTGCTACAGGGCCTATTAAAATGTTTGTCCCCATCTTTCTTATAAGTACCCTTTAAGTGTTGAAAGGCTGCAATAAGGTCTCCTCAGAGACTTCTCCAGAATGAACAATCCCAATTTGTTCAGTTTCAGAGTAGAACTGGCTTTGTAAAAACAGCTTTTTAGGATGGTCCTGGGAAGCAATATTTGAATATTTAGTCATATTAAATAAGTAGTTAGACAGGATATATGTTTTCCTGAGCAATTAGATAAAGAAAATGACTCTTGTACTGTGTTTTGTATATCCAACACATTTGCTGTGATTGAGATAACTAACAGCTTTAATTGAGCATGTTTAGACCTAGCATGTAGTGAACACTCATACCATATGGACCCTTTCCTACCTGCACTGCCCAAAGTACTGCTTCCCTGCCTATTCGTTACACTAGACTACATGGGTCTTTATTTCTTTTGCTTCATATTTTCATTAGAGTGCTGAAATTATTACTAATAAAAGAATGTTAATATAGTTTATTATTCTTACTGCTTCATTAAGGAAATTATTGCTTGTTTTAGGGATGGGAACTTATTGTCACCCTTCTGAATTATTGAGGAAATCATTAATCTTTCACTTGGGTCATGAAAGTCTATTATGCATGTGCCTCTGAAAGTCAACAGTATTAAACATTTATTCCTAATGGCCTTGTCTTAGAGTGTCCTTGGACCTGCTAAATGTCTCAGCTTCACGAAAATACCCTTGAGATTTCTTCAGTGGAAATTAAATGAGCAGAAGCTAGACGAAGGGTTATTTAATGAACAGTCAGCATTCTCTGAATTCACAAGTTTGGAAAAATATAATCAGAAGAAGCCCCCAAAGACTAAAATACTATCAGTAGAAACTAGATAGATGATGGACTATGTTACTAGCATAGCACTCAATCTATTTATTACCTATGACTATGGAAAATAAAGGGGGAAAGAGGAAACCTCCTTTAGTAGGGCTGCCCAAGTACTACTGCTCCAGGTGATTAATACTAGCAATTGTGTCAGGCTGCTGCTCATGCCTCTGAAGCAGACTCTAGTCTTCATTAACTGAAGAGGTGAAAAATGTCCTTATGCTTCCTTAGCATGTTCCCCACGCTGAATAAATAAGAGGGGAAGGACACATCTATAGGGTAACTGGATTTCCCCTTGTTCTACACAGTGGGCTGCTGTGGGTTGAGTCACTGAAGCTTATCCTAGCCCTGTTGATCTTGCCAGCTAGCTGGCAGGGAGCTGCTGGGAGCATAGGACTATTACCCTGTCTTACCACCACCAACCACCTCAAAGAACAAGATCACTGAGAGGTTGGTTATATCCCTCTAAACATAGGCTAGTACAAAATTGACTTGCCCTTTGTTTGAGACTCAAATATTTGGTGCTTGGTGGCTTGTGCATTAAGCATTCAGGATATAATGGACTTTGAACTGAAACGTGATACTCTCGCTTCCTTGTCTGGAAGGCTGACTGGTTTGCTTCCTTTTTCCTGTATGCAAAATGGATTTGTGAAGTTGAATGAAAATGCTCTTCTATCTAATGAAATAGCTAACGTTACTGAAGAAATAAAAAGCTTCTTGATATTAGGAAGGTCAGGAACTGGTAATGGAGAGTGCAGATAATGAAAGCTGAGGTTGTTCTTAAATGAAAGAAAAGCCAGGTTGTGGCTGATCTTGATGTTTTCCCTGGTACAGGATGACATCATGTGCAGTGACAATGAAAAAATATGTGGAGGAGAACGTTTCCCAGAATTCCTATACTACAATAAAATATTTCATGAAGATGCTGAGCAGCGTCAGTGAGACCCTGATTTTTGTATTCATGGGAGTGTCTACAGTGGGGAAAAACCATGAGTGGAACTGGGCCTTCATTTGCTTCACCCTGCTCTTCTGCCTCATTTGGCGGACACTGAGTAAGTCAGCTTTTGCAGGCAACCTGCTGTGCACCTCTGAGAGAAACCCTTTGGTGCAAAGGTATGTTAGGAAAGTCTGTGCAGACCGGCATAACCAGTTTAATAACAAATTTGCTAGGCTTATTTTATTGAGAAGTTAATTTCACAAATCTACACATGAAAAATAGGGGAATGGGGGGAAACCCAAACAAATAGGGGTCTGTTTTGAACCTGAAGGCTTTATTCTGCATCATGTTAAGTTACAGTAGCTGGAATAGAAAACAAACACATGTACTCTTGGAGAAGTGATGAATTAGAACATCCCTTACTCAGCCACTGTTATTTGTCACTTTAATTAAAAACAGGAGTGAACAATGCTTTCGAAATGAAAGGTGTAAAGACGTTTTGGAAGTAGTACACATGAGAAGGCCAAAAATACAATTGTGTAGGCAATCTTATTTCTGACATTTTTTTAACTTCTGAGTACCTGAACTGGCCATCTTAGTAGTTCTGGGTGTTTTTTTTTGTTTTCGTTTTTTTGTTGTTGTTGTTGTTTTTGTTTTGTTTGTTTGTTTGTTTGTTTTGGGGTTTGTTTTTTTTTTTTGGTCAGTTGGTTGGTTTTCTATTCTGTCTTGGGTTGCGCTTTCTTTTTTTTTCCCAGTATTTTTTTTTCAGAGCAATTTATATTTTTAAAGAAAATGAGAAATACAAATATTCTATCAGATGGCCTTGGAGGATATAGTCTGAGCACTGACATTTAGGCGTCTACCTTGGGTAACTAAGCTAGTAGGTTAGTTCCCCTGTGTTTCATTTATAATCAAAGGATGCCCCTCTGAGGCATCCTGTGGGGCAGAAATCTACATTGGTCATCTGCCACCACCTCCTACAGCCTTCAGGCCTTGTCTGTATTTCCTTTACATATAGGCTTTAGCTCTGGGCATTGGTCCTGCAACATCTGCTACAGTACTGAGGAGGAATAAGACCTGAAGGTGACTTGTCAGGGCCAGCTGTACGCTGAAGGGAAGGCAAAAAGGTTGAAAGGAAAAGGCAAGTGACATTTGCTGGAAAGTGGTTGATGAATTAGCTGAAAGATGTGCTTTGTCTTTCCTACCATGCCCAAAGAAGGAAGAAATAGCTGAAGACTGAGGGCAGCCTTAGCTGCAGTGACTATGAGACTGTGGATGCTAAGATCCTGAGAGGAGTGATCAAGCCAACAAACAACAGAATTACAACCCTGGACTTCAAAAAGCAGATTTTGGCCAGTGGTTGATAATGTGGTTGATAATATGAGCTCAAAATACTGGTCTAGCTGGTCACTAATGGCATCCCTCAGAGCTCACTACAGAGACCGATATCGTTTTGAGGTCTTCATTAATGACCTGGATAACAGAATGGAGTGCACACTGAGAAAGTTGGTGGCTGGAACCAAACTGCAAAGAGCAGTCAATGTGCTGGATGGTTTCCATTCAAAGGGACCTGGGCAGGCTGGAGAAATAGGCTGACAGAAGCTCATTACATTCAAGAGCACGTACAAGGACTTAACGTGTGGCTTGCAATAACTTCATGCACCAGTATAGGCTTGGAGTCTAGTAAGCAGCTCTACAGAAAAGGACCTGGCCTGGTAGGTAACAGGTTGAATGCAAGTCAGAATTATGTTCTTGTCACAAAGAAGACAAACAGCGTTCTGGGCTACATTAGCAAGTGTGTAGCCAGCAGGTCCAGGGAAGTGTTTCTTCCTGTCTCTTCAGCACTGGTGGAACTGTGTGTTTCCAGAGCAGTCTCTTCAGTTCTGGATTCCCCAGTGTAGGAAGGGCACAGAAGTTCTGGATCAAGTTCAGTAGAGGTCACCAACCTAGTCAGAGGCTGGAGCACTGGATATACAGATTGAGTCTGAGAGTGCTGAGTCTATGCAGCCTGAGGGATATATAGCACAGGAGAGACATTATGTTCTACAAGTGCCCAGTCAGAGGAGAGAGAAGATGGAGACAGACACTTCTCAGAGGTGCACAGCAACAGGACAAGAAGGAACAGACACAAGCTGGACCATGTAAATTCAGAATAGACAGTAGGAACCCATTTCTTAACATGAGGCTGATCCAGTATTGCAGCAGTGCTCCAGCTCTGTTTTTGAAAGCATTCAAGACTTGACTGAAACTTTGAACAACCTGATCTGATTAGCTCTGCCTTGATAAGGATTTTGACTAGATGACCTTCAAAGGTCATTTCCAGCCTACAGTACTCTAACATTTGGGACCGGCTAAGTATTGGCATCAAACACCTAAAGTTAAGGTGCTCTTGCTTGAATCTCTCAGGTGGCTTATCCCTTCAGACAAAATGAATACCAGAGCAGAAAAAAGGCACAGGTTCAAAACCCATGCACATTTCAATACCATTGACTTTTAAGCCTGGGAGCCCTGTAGGAAGGCATTTAATGCAAGGGAGAAGAAAGAGGAAACCTGTGAGGGTTCAAGTACATGCATCTGATCAGCTCTATTATACAGGGATAACACAAGTACTCAGTGATAAAGGCAATATAACTCCTGTGGGCTGACAGCAAAAGAAAGTAACTAAGAATTTTCTTGCTAATCCTGGACCAAGCGTGGCCTCTAAGTTTTTAAAGGCTTACTTTCAGAGTCCATATTGGAACATCCATCCAATCAAGACAGGAAAAAATGCTCTCCTGATACAAAAGGTATTTTGCTGCTGTATGTCCATTCTTCTCTCAAACAGCAAGGGGAGTGCTAGAGCTTTCCAGAGGATGGCTGAAATATTTTCTGCTAAATTTGTTTGCTAAAATGATTACAACAATTTGCCTGAAGCTTGAGTAAAGTAAAGAGAATTGGCCTGAGGGTGATACTTTACATATGAAGTTTCAGTTTGAGTAGCTGATCTCTAACATAGCTATAAAAAGCCAAAAAAGGTCTTATATAGAGCGATATCCAGCAACCTGCATAACAGGATACTGCTACTGGCCTTACATATAATAGTGCACTGAGTTTATCAGTGACAGCTGTGTAAATTATTAGCATTTGTCAGCTTTTACTTCAGTAATTTAACAGTTTCCACACAAAACAGGATACATGTTTCTTATGGGAGATGAAGATTAAATCAAGCAGATTGCTGAATATATTCTATAAAGAAAAGCAGCAGTCCTTACACAGCCACAGGCTCTCTGATTAATTTAACTTTCATTACGAAAGAAATTAAATTTGAGAAATAAACATGGAATTAGAGACACAATAAGCTAGAGGATTAAAAATTAAAATGTTATTACTCTTTGCCTTTCAGTGAAACTGTCCACAGGACTTGTTGGTAAAGCACTACTCAAACACTTTGGGCAGACAATGTGCAGAAAGCAGGAAACACTGAAAGGGAAGGCACAGAAAAAGCTCTCATCCAGTGGATTGTCTTATCTCAAGAACACTTCAGAAAAGAAGTGTGCATCATAAATACAGAAAGTAAATATTTTCCCCATATCTCACTTTAAACTGCATAAATGAATTTAAATCCCAAAGCAGGTAGTAACCATGGTCTTTTCTAGGAGTTTTTTAACATGAACCAGACGGTCAAAGAGAAGACACAAGAACCCAAAACTGAAAAGACTGCCAACAGCTGAGAGAGTCAAGATGTTGTTTTGCTTCAAGTATTTTCCTTTTCACCTTGATTAATAATAGTTTGTTGTTTGGTTGTTTTTTTTTAACCTCCCTAGGTGTATTTGCTCTCTTCTACATCAGCAACAAGTTCCGAACATATCCCTTCACTTTCAAAGACCAACTTATTATTTCCTACAGTGGCCTTCGAGGAGCCAGCAGCTTTTCTCTTGCATTCTTACTTCCAGTGAATCTCTTCCCTAGAAAAAATTTGTTCATTACCGCTACTCTTGTAGTTACATATTTCACTGTGTTCATCCAAGTAAGTGTATTTCTTAATGGATTGCTTTCATGTAATAGAGGTGACTGAAAGCTTCATAGTGAAGATTGCATTGAATTTCCACTTAAATCATATTTTATGGCCAGATTTAGAACTGGAACTATAATTACCCTTTCAGGGCTTTCTGGTTATTATTAAATAACTTTTTGAGAAAGTTGGCATTGAAAACCTGTGTCTTTTAAAGGAGTATTTTGTGTCCAAAATCTTTTATGTTCACTGCAGATGTGCTTCCTAATGCTTCCAAATAAAGAAGCATTTTTTAACTTTACACTTCAGCACAGAATCATTCTTTGTTAGCGGTGTACCACAAACTGAACAGAAAACAGTATGTCTGTTCTATGAAGGATTTTGAATTTTTTACTTTTATCTTCATTCATCTTGGTGAATGAATTTTTTACTTTTATCTTCATTCATCTTGGTGACCAAATGAGAACATTTAAAAATCCTTTGTAAAAGAATATTAGAGAAAAATGAAGTGAATAATTCAGATTTCTAAGAAAGCTGGCTACTTCAGATGTTTGGGCTGTTCCACTTGTCTTACACTGCTATATGTGGAAGAACTGGATCTTCTGGAAGTCTTGCATCTCATGTTCTGTATTTTCCTGTACCAAAATCTGAGCTAATCTAGGATGCCAATGGGGCACTATGCACTTGTGGTTAGAGTCCACCGGAACGTTTCTAAAAAAAAAAGGAAAAATTGTTTCTGTTTCCCCTTTTAAAATGCTATTCAGTAGCACTGCAGTAAAGAGTTGGAAAGAGCTGAAAATAATTTTGAAGTTAAAAAAACACACCCAAAGTATTTAATTCTGAACACACTGAAGTAAGAGGTTTCAAGATTGTAAGAACCTCACAAAGATTGTGTTTTCTTTCAAGTGAGTGCTGTTTTGAAGGTTGGCAAGGAGTTAAAACATGTCAATAAATACAATCTTGATTACAAAAACACTGGTGCATAATTTTTAAAAAGTTTTTAAGCTTTAAACCTCTTTTGTAGCTTTCCATACAATTAATCTGACTAATACACAGCTTTCTTAATTGATTAAAATGAAATCTTTTTGCTTTCCTTCTGTTTTTTTTCCCTAAAGGATAATTAACATTTCAACTCATTGTTCCAAATGCAGGGAGTCACAATTGGACCATTGGTCAGGCATCTAGATGTGAAAAAGACCAACAAAAAGGAGTCTATCAATGAAGAGATTCATGTGCGAGTAAGTCTTTTATATCAGTAACTGATATCCTAAAAAGAAGAGAAAGGGTATTCCAAAAGAGCTGGACAGATGGAGGCATTTGGTAGCACTGGCATTTGGTGAATTTGGAGACAGAATACTTTTATCAATATTTGGAGCAAAACCATAAGCATAATTTTCTAAACTATATTTCATTCATATTCATAGTAACTATCATATTATAATATTATACCACAGGTGTCATGGTGTAGCAGGACCCTTACTTCTTGACACCTGTGACCATGACAGAAACATGAAGGCCACATTTACAAAATGCACTCATCATCCTTCCAAGCTAGATTTGCCAAACACCTTCTTGCCATCTTTTGACCGTTTCTGGGTACACAGTTACCCCTTAAAAGTCTTTAATCAAGTTTTATTGAACTGAAATGAGTTGAACCATTGGTCTGCAAATTTGGTTTCAAGTTATTCTGAGTAATGCTGTTTTCCCCTCTCAAACGTTTACTTTAGCTCCCTAATTAACATTATAAAAAATTACAGAAAGCTGCTTAATCTGACTTAACAGTACGCAAAATATGTGTACATGGTTTCATTTTCACAATAGGGAATATATTTGAAATTAACAGAAACACTGTGCCTTAAAATTACACACATGCAGAGACATTAGAATTAGAGCATCTCAACTGGTTTGAATTTAAAGTACATTTAATTCTTATTATTTCAACCCTTACACTTAACCTTGAAATGAATTTATGTTTAAAAGCACCCCTTGTAACAATATGTATGTAATCATTCACTATATTTCTGTCTGTTTCTATAATGCTAGAAACACACAAAAGATGACTGAAAATCCTGGCAGTTATCTGTGATGAACTTGTGAGTCTCGTGACAATTTTCAAAAGCCTCAGAGGATTTGTCAGCCAAGGCAAAGTTAAGGTGTGTGGTACCTGGCCCTGTGCCCCTCTCAGGGAGATCACACATGCGGAAGGGAAACTGGATTGACAGAACCAAGAGTTTAGGTTTTGGTCTCAGTAAACACACAGGACCAGGCAATTTGGATGCTCGGTATCATCTTCCTTTACTTGGGCCTATATGTTGCTGGGTGATGGTGAGATGACAGCAGACTGACAGACTTGCCTCCATCAAAATATTGCCCCTGCAGCCAAGCAAAGGAGCTCCCACAATGGTATCTTTGCCTTGATTTCTAGAGAAATATAGATGCTTTCAGAATTAACTCACACCCTCCAATAAAAAAATCTCAAATCCTGTCAACAATTACATATATGTGGTAACACTATTTTACTGTAATGGCCACTTAAATTTTTTCCATGTTTGTTTCTCTAGTTGATGGATCATTTGAAGGCTGGTATTGAAGACATATGTGGACACTGGAGTCATTATCAGCTGAGAGATAAGTAAGCATCTCTTATTGCAGCCTACTGTAATAAAACAACGTATCTATCATGTAAAGCACAATAGTTTAATAGAATAAGAAATCAATCTTGTGCCCCATTAAAGCTAAAATAGCATGAAAATATTGGGGACATGTGCAATATCTCTTTTTAAAAAGTGAACTCCTGAATGACCATTATTTCTTGGGAATGCAGTGCTCACATATTGCCTGCTAAATTATTTCTGCAGAAATAAGCAGAAAATAAGCCTTCTGAAAGAAAAGCATAGCATGGGAACTCATGCTGCACACATCAGCCTGTGCACATAGCTTTGGCATAAATCTTAGATACATGGCAATGCTCCTTTAGGTCTGGATTTAGAACAGGAGCTACATAAGATGACTTCACTGACTTTTGCTGTAAGCTTCTGCAGCAAATATAATCCTGTCTTAGTGAGTACCGATTCAATAATAGTTACCTGTCCTTACAAGCCTTCACATTCAGTAATACTTAAAATAAGAGTACTGAAGGGAACGGTTAAATTTAGATAGCCGGTAGCATAAGCAGATGCTCTCAAGCTAGTCTTAACTCAGAAACACAGGACCTGCCCTGTATTTTCTAGGAACAGGAGAAGAGATTTTGCAAAGCTTGGCACTGTCCAGAAGTGATAGGCCTGCCATCCTGAGCTGCTGTTCCCTTTACCAGGGAACTTAAGGGAGCACTGTGAACATGCTGGCCATCACTGTAGCACGTGAAGGGAAGTGTGGGAGACAATAATCTTCCTTTCCCACAGACATTTTATTACGATGTTGTGGGCTAAAAGCTATCCCTAGTTATCCTAGTTATGCCTAGACTTCTGTGCTGGATTCCTCTGTCTCACCTTTCAGCACTGGACCCCAGTAATCTGCAGAGGGGTCTGTTGAGACTCCTTTCATGACTGGGTCTCTCCCTATGGAAGTCAAGATTTAAGAGTGGGAAGAAGGCGGCTGGTTTGCATCTGGCTCTTGTCCCAGTGAGGAGTAAACGTGTAATATGCTAGGGCACATACCTGAACCCAGAAACTAAAATGTCCTTTTGTCTCTCTTAGTACAGATTGAACTTTAGGACATCTGCTGGGATCACACCACTGCCTGTGCAGTCAATAAGATAAACAAATCCCAGTTGGAACAGTAATTCCATTGGAATAGCTGCATTTACTCACATCTGTGAGAAAATGTTATCCCCTTATCTCACATCTACCCAACAGCTATGAAAAGAGCATTTTGTCTAAACTAGCCATAAAAACAGAATTTCAGTTCAGGGACAGATTCAAAAAACAAAGTGCATGTGAAGGCATTTAATGGAAGAAGATTGTATTAAAAGGTAATTCCCTACATGTTTCTACTCAACTTTAAAGAGGGTTAGCATACGTATAACAGAATTAATTACTTAAGTGATGACACTCCAGGAGGCTTTCTGTGACATAATAAAACATAAAGAAGAACAGATATCCCAATGGAAATGTTTGTGTACCTATCTCTGCTATTATATATAAAAACTAGCCTTTGTTAAGAAAAAGTGTATAAACTCTTTAGGGTTTTTCCTAGCATTGTGGACCACATTACCTTGCTGTGGTAAACTGTAGCTTTGAAAGAAACATATAAGAAGATCCGCTGTTGTTCTATTAAACGCCTGCCTGAAAGCACATACCTGTTCCGAAGCCACACACAACATATTCACATTCAAATTTTGCCCCACATTAGTGATATTTTACAGTCTGCAGCATGCAAGCACATAGTATTTTGTGGGCCATTCAATCTCTCTGTTATTCAGAATACAAAGAACTGTATTTTCTCTGCTGTAATTGTCAGGATACAAAATTATCAGCAACATAATGGACCCAAACTACTGTAACTGCTGGGCCATTTAAAGCCTCATTGGTGGCTGGCTGAATAGGCCAGGATTGCTGTAAGAGCAGCTGCTGCTGTTATGCCCTACCAGAATACAACATTTGTACAAAAGCGAGGAGACTGTCCATATTCTTTTCCAACAAATGTGGCGGTGTTACATGCAAACACGGACCCAGCCTCTTTTTGCTCTAATTGCAGCTTGTTTCTTTTCTTTTGTCTGGTGGGCTTTGCAATCTCTGTGGACCAGCAGAACATGCCAAATGTCCCTCTCAAGGTCTCCACTCACTAGGCCTTCAGGAGTCCACAGGTGCCTCCAATTTGAATTCAGTTTCTACCACTGAATTATGTATGTGTGCATTTGAATGAAGGTCAGCTTGTACCTCAAAAATAAAAACCCCACATTTCATTTTTTTACACTTTGATCTTAATATCTATCTCTTTCGCAGATTTAAGAAGATTGATAATAAGTATTTGAAGAAAATCTTAATTCGGGAACACCAGCCCAAATCCAGCATTGTGTCATTGTACAAAAAGATGGAGATAAAACTGGCCATTGAGATGGCTGAGAGTAGCATGAAACTTTCAGAAACACCTGCAGCTTCTTCACAGTGAGTACTGACTTCCTGACTCCTTTTTAGTGTAGGTGCAGGAAGGACGGGGACAAAAATGAGGAAATACCCAAGGGATTTTATGACTTAAATAGAAATATTGGGGGGGGGGAAGGACGGGACACACAAATATAGTTATGAAAAGAGAAGTTGCTGGTTTGGGCTGGCAATTTGGTGCTCATCATATTTGCACTTTGGCTTTTTATTTGCAGAGTGAAAATTAAAACCAGGGACACTTTTTCTGTTCTCTTTAATGATGGGCAGTTCTGAAGAGGAATCATTAGTCAGGGTCAGAAGGTGCTCTGGCTGCTTTACATCACAGCAGTGGTTCAAGGTGGCTGTACTTGTCACTGAGCTGGCCAGTGGGTTTTGCTCATCAGTGACAGGTGATGAGAGACCTGCAGGAGAGCTTGGAGCCAGGTCCCAACTGTATTATCCCTATCACAGATTTTTGTTAAAAGCAGATTGCCTTGTAACATTTGCAATTATTGCTACTTCAGTTTGCAGTCCTTCAAACTGTCTTGTCTTATTTTGGTACTTCCTTGCAAAATTTGTCCTATTAAATCCTGAGGACAGCCCTGCAGAGAAAGACTTGGGGTTACTAGTGGATTAAAAGCTGGACATGTACCCAGCAACATAAGCTCGCAGCCCAAAAGTCAACCATACATATCCTAAACTGCATCCAAAGAAGCATGATCAGTAGGTCAAGGTAGATGATTCTGCCCCTCTACTCTGCTCTGATGAGACCCCACCTAGATTACTGTGTTCAGCTCTGGGGCACCCGGTACACAAAAGACCTGTTGGAGAGCATCCACAAAAATGACCAGAGAAATGGAGCACGTGTCGTGTGAGGAAAGGCTGAGAGAGTTGGGGTTGCTCAGCCTGGAGAAGAGAAGGCTCTGGGGAGACCTGACTGTGGCCTTCCAATACCTAAAGCAAGCTTATAAGAAAGGTGGGAACAGAGATTTAATAGGCCATGTAGCTATAGGACAAGAGGTAATAGTTTTAAACTCAAGGAGGGTAGATTTAGACTAGATACAAGGAAGAAATTTTTTTTTGAGGGCGGTGAAACACTGGGGCAGGTTGCCTAGAGATTTGGTAGATGCACCATCCTTGGAAACATCCAAGGTCAGGCTGGATGGGGTTCTGAGCAACCTGATCTAGTTGAAGATGTCCCTGCAGATTAAAACTTGGCATCTAACAGACGTTCTTTGCTGAACAGTTGATATTAAAATGACTGCTTGTCTGTCAGGCTCCTTTCTGTCTGCTGTATTCCCTTAACTGTTCTGAGCCAAGACAAAATGTGCAAGTTTGGTAGGCAATCTATGGCAATCAAACCATATTGCTCTTATTTTCTTGAGTGAAAGAGAAAATAAGACAAAACGCTTCAGTATAGTTCAGAAATTCTCTCCTGAGCTGAAAATTTAGACTGAAAAATATTCTATGATAAACAGCTGATAATAATGGACTAATTTTTGCCATCTCTACTCTGGCTGTAATTGAATTTTACTGTGCATCAACAGTTTTTAGGAAACACAGGTTTTCCTACTGAGACAGCCTTTTAAAAATGAAGTGCCGACTTCAAAAAAACAAGTGCATCCTGTGGCACAGAAACATGATTCTTGGAGGCTGTGAGAGTGTTCTAGGAGAATATATGTTTTCCCAGCTCTGTTCATTGATAGGTTTGAGCCCTGGAAGAGACAAGGTAATGAGCTAGCTGTTGAATCTTTGGTCTGAGCAAATGCAGTAGTTCTTTTCATTCTCCTGACCCATTCAGTGAACCTGCTTAAGACTAAAAGGTTTCTAAATTCATTTGTAAATTGCTTGATAGTTATCAATGAAACAGCTTGTACCTAAAGTCTGACTTCAGTAAGTATACAAAAATCCGGCTGTAGGCAAGTGGAGATTTGAAATCAAATTCCAATGTATAGCTTGGAAAACAATATTTGCAGTGCCAGAGTAGTGCTCTCTGGGGCTCTCTCTCACAGAGTAGTACTCCCTCGCTAGCACTTATGATCAGTTCTACAACCTTGAGGCACATGAGGGGAAATGCTCTATAACAATCAAAGTGGATCTCCATCTCTGTGAATTACTCTCAGAAATTGCATTCATGCTGGTGTAATTCCTGCAGGTGGAGAAGGTGTCCAATATGCAGTGTTTCCAGTGGCGAAATTTGCCCATGGACTGTGCAACAAAGAATTCACATTTGAATGAAAATAGAGCATTTTGTTACAGTGTTTTGTAGAATATAAGCCTTAGAAATAAAGACGGAAATTGCAAAAGCAGTGTTGAGTAGATATTATCAAAACTGTTTGTATGGCTGTTTCTTGGAGGAAATATGCCCATTACACAGAGAGACGGCTTGATGCTTAGCTTACTTACTGTTGGCTTCATATTGCTGCAATACTGACTTTGACAAGAGTAAATCTTAGAATGCATCAATACAGTGCAGGTCAAAATCAAGTGTCATGTCATTTGTGGTGATGCAGTTCTGCAAGGACTGTGCCCTAGGAACGTTACTTCCTTCACAGGCTGGAGACTTCACAAAGTTCAAGATTTTAGATATAACACAAACTAAATAATCTTACAAGGTTTATGGAAGGCATTTTATTTCCTCCATGAGTCAGTTGTCTACAGATGTAAAGAAGAGATACTGCCATGGTACTCATTACAGAGAGACAGTTTTCATGGCATACAATAATTTCTTTATTTTCTTCACAAATACATTTCCTGTACTGTGTTTTGTTGTAACATGCTGGAAGTTTCACTAAGAACAAAGAAATTGCGTCAATAAGGATTGCTTGGTGGGTTTGGATTTTTTTTTAAGTTCTCTTTAAATGCATTGTATATTGCAAAATGCAAAAGCAATCTGTTCCTTGCACCTGTGCATTGTAGGTTAATATTAAATTCCATTAAAATAGTGCATGTTTTCAATTTATGCTTCAGAACAATACAGACTACCTTCCTACTGTTTGTTCTCTTGCTATCCCAGCTCAGCTGAAATTCAGGGAATTTTATTTATTCTATTTAAGTCACTTTAAGAACAAAATTATGAGCCTTTAAATGACTGAAGTGGCCACTTCTGTGCTGGCATATGGAGGGTCAGGTATGTAACTGGAAAAGTAAAGAGATGATCTGATGTCTTCCTAGCGGAGTTCTGCTTTCCCCTACTTACTTAGCTGCTTTCCCCCATTTATTCCCAACTGTAAGGTATATGGACCCTGTGGAGATTTTCATTGAAATGTGGATCAGAGAGAAAATTAATCTGTATGATGTCAAAGCTGCTTGCATCAACTATGTCAGTTCAATTTGCATTACACAAATGAGCAAAGCCTGCATTTTATAGACAACTACTCACTGACAGGCTAGATTGTCATTAGTCCCCAGGGGCTGGGTCTGTGTTTGCTTTCGCAGGTGTACCTCACATCTCTCTGTTGTGAGAGACTGGTTTCCGTGCTGTGGAAAGTAGCATACATGGTCTGTCCCACAGGCTGCAACACACCAGACCCAGTATGGAATAAAGATGCATTACACCTAAGCCTGGAAACTTGGTGGTATCCTTGGATCCTCTCAGTGTTATTCCTGAGAGCTGAAAGCAAGTGAAAACCCACCCACCCACCCAACCAACCCACCAGCTGGCCTGGAATTGGGTGGGTGTGCTCGGCTTTCTTCACTGCTGGTAAATACCTAACTTTGTTGTGCTATTGAGAATTGATAAATACTAATGAAACATTTGTTGGGAAGGATTCATTAGGGCCAGGATAAGATTTCTGGTCAAATCCAGAAAGTGAGTCCTATTCACCCACTTTGGCTTGTCAATAGCACAAAAACAGTGGTAATCTTGTTAAACTAGCGGAAATTTCAAATCCCAACCTTTTTCCTATGTTTACAGCATAAACTCATTTTAGCTTGAATCCATCTTCCTTTGTTTTAACTTTTGTTAAAAGTTTTTGATTTATTGTAGAGAGAGTAAAAAGTAAACGCACACAAAGCTTTGATGATACTGTACATTGATCATAATCCATCCTTTAATTGCACAGTTTACAGGTGACACTCTAAGGACATCACTTAGCTGAGAACAAAGATTTGAAATTTCATTAAAAAAAAAAAAGAAGTCAAGAAAGCAAATGGAGAAAGGAAAAAAAAATAAAAACAAAACCCAGAAACAAGAGGAACACTGATTAATTCTGAATGATCACTATCTAATTCCCTTTGCCTTCTTGGGAATTGAGCTGTATGCTACTCTCACACATATCAACCTATTTAGCAAAACCAGTTAACATTTCACAGTAGCCCTCCTCCATTGTTTTGCTAGTGAAAGAGCTGGGCAGCTACAAGTGACTTGAGCTTCTTGTCACAGTTTGTTAAAAATACAAAGATGACTATCTTTTTGGTAGTTCTTTCGTTAATAAATGGAGAGTCAGGCTCAGTAGCAAGGAAACCCTACATGTTCTCCTCACCACAGGCTGTCTTGTGCTCTTTCATCAGCATGGATTTTAGTTCTAAAGGATCCACTGCACTTTCTCAAAGGAGTTAAAACCAGTAGGTCTGCAGGGCCCAGACTGCTAGACTGTGCTGAAGAATGTATTCAGACAGAGGAGGAAACTTGCAGTGCCTTCCTGAATGCACTGCTGGTTGTTGCCCAATCTAATCCTTAAATACAAACTTCCTCACAAAGCTTTGAGTTAAAAAAAAAAAAAAAAGAGTTTCTACTACCAGCTGTATGAGGGTTTAGGGCCCATTCTGGCTACCCAGTATATTGAGAAAACCCAGGAAAGAGTAAAATATGACATTTTTTATTAATCTTTGAATGATTTTGTGGTGTCACTGGTCACAAAGAGGCTGAAGAGTCTTGTGTTCTGGTACTAAAAACAGATCATGAATCATTTCATGGGAATAGTATTTAATCAACTCATTAATGTAATATTTAAACTTCTCTTTTATTTGCAGGAATGGTAGAAATCGGCGTGTGCGTAGGCTCTCCCACACAGAGATGAAGTCCTTGAGAGAAGTCTTGGCACATAATCTATACCAAGTGCGACAAAGGGTGTGTAAACGACCTGCTATCGCTCACTGTTTGCAGACTGAAAGCTCTTGTTTGCCCTCCCCATATCACAGCCGTGGTGGGTGGTAGCACTAGGACCAGCCCTGGGGTCAACGCTGGTGGGAGATGTGAACCCAGTGCCCTGAGGTGCTCCGACCCTAGAGATGCTCAGGGAAGGGAAGGAAGGGAAGAAGCCCTGGCTTGAGGCACATTCCTGGATGTAGAAAGAGAAAGCGAGTTTTCTCCATCAGCTTTTCACCCTGGCAACAACATGGAAAGCTAGGAAAATCCGTGACTGGGCTGTAGAGGTCAGGCTTTCCTCACTACACAGCTACCCGCGACTCGGGAACCACCATCTCCAGGCTGCCAAATGCTCTGTCCCCACGGCATGCACGGCCCGTGCAGTGGATGGCTAGGCTGGACCAATGCTGGGCAACCAGCTACTGACGCTGATCAGCCAGCTACCTGGTACCCGGGGATGAGTGCAGGCTCTTGTGGGGGGTGGCCAGCAGCAGTGAAGATCCACCCTGTGGAGGTGGATGGACCAGCAGTGGTAAATACTGCATAGCTCAAAGACAGCTGAGAGGCTGGTAAATCCTCCATCTGCATGGGACCAACAGCTTAACAGGAGAAGAAAGAGGAAAAATAAATAAATATTCCACCTCCTCTGGAGCTTTACTTTACACATTTGGGTTCCCCCCCCCATAAAATGAGGGTGATAATAACTGATAATATCTGGCTCACCAGACCAATTTTACAAGGAGCTTTGCAGGTGTGACAGAGATCAGATTCTGCTTTTTAAGAAGGCTTAATTTTTCTCAAGACAGATAAATATTTCCCTCATTTCACCTGATGTATGCAATAAATTAAAAAGCTTGTCCTAAAACATACTCTGTTTTAGGGTGATATTAAGGTGTAGTTTGTCCAGGTATGGAAAGGAAACTCAGTCTGTGTATCTTATTCTGGAGATGTACTCTTCTTAACTTAGTCTTTTGCTCCTGGGCACATCTGCAGCTTGCTGCTGGCCCAGTAATATTAGTACTAAGGCTCAAAGGCTAGTTAATCAGCTATCTCTCTCGGGACCTGTCTCAGATCTGTAGCTCCCAACTGTGTGACAAGGAAAAGGATGACAAAGGGAGAACAAGCCCGGAGATGTTAATAACCTTGTGTGGGTAGGTATATGTTTCTAGTGCACTTCAAACAGTCAAGAGTCTATGAGAGATGGCATCAAAATGCAGTCCTTGAAGTCTAAGACATACAGCTGTTCTTGTGTTTCCTCCTATCTTGATCTCCAGCAGTGAATTTAGTACGAGGCTGCATTTTTTCATGTGATGCCAAAGAGATCTACGATGAGTCTATGGCCCCATGATCAACCAGACTGCACAAGGTTTTTAACATTGGAAGAACAAAGAAAATCAGCTAGGTGCATTTTCTGTTTCAGGCACCAGCGTACAATCGACACAACCTGCCTACCAGCGCAAACGAGAAACAAGCCCAAGAAATCCTCATCCGTCGGCAGTACAGCCTGAGGCAGAGTTGCAGGAAAGGAAACAGCTTACCTTGGGGTAGACCGGTACCTGTTACATATACTACTGTTTATGTGAAAAATGCCTCTGCTTCTCTGTAAATAAGGAAACAGACACCCATTTTATATGCTTTTTTTTGTAATAATTAAAATGGATACTTTCCCCAGTGTCCTTACCATGTTGACAGCAACATATTAATGTACTACCTCTATACATTGGTTAGAGATCAGCTACTATGGCTGTCAGTAGTAAAATAATGTAATTTGTATTGTTTTGGTATGTGCAAAACAATATAATCACAAAAAGCCAGATGCAAAGCCCTTGACACCTTGCACTGACTGTTGGCTCTTGATCAGTAAGATTTGTCTGATCAAAGGTAGTCATTGAATAGCATAGATATTTAAAGCTGAGTTGATCACAGTGGGGGAAGATACATAAGTTGTTGCTGGGTATATTAATTTTATTTAAAGTTGTCACATGAAATAGGAAAGGTGAATCTTAGAAGAACATATTTCTCTCTGCTGACTGTAAAAAAAACCCATAGGGCCATTACATTAGACACTGACATTTTTCACTGGCATTGACGTTGAGTTCAACTGTCCAAGCCAAGCATTGTTCTTATTCATTCCCCTCTAAATTGGGCTTTAAAAGTGCAGAGGCACAAAAGAAAAAGCATATAGCCATCCTTCTTTACCTTCTCACCAAAGAGGTGCAAAAGGCAGACACAGTCACAGGAACTGAACACATTTCTGTCTCATATGCAGGTTAACACCACAGAAGTACGCTACCTCTCCTTGCCTCAGGGCCCCAGACAGCGCACAAGACAAAAAGCCAGGCATGTTACTTTTACAGGTAATGGCAATGCTTTACTCTGTATCCTACTCCAGCAGTGAAAGAAACTTGGCCAGTGGCTCAGTGGATTTAGCAGTACCAAATAAGGACTCCCAGGGAAGTCCCTGGCCTCTTTAAATGAGCTACACCCTTTTCTCCTTTCTTTTTGATCTGTGTTGTTTACATGGTCATTACTGCAGCAGTTTCTATCTCATCCCAGCACCGCCCAGGTTTCTCTTCCCTGTAGCAGGCTCCTGGATCCCCTGTTCTCCCCTTACATCACACGCAGGGGCTAGTTCATTGTTGTTGGTATAGATTATGTGGTTGTCTTACCCTGTCCATGGGGCTGATACCCCCCCCCCGCGATGGATTCAAGTAAGGGGACAGAAGTTAGGGATGGATCAACACTGAATTGTCTAAGGAAACACAGCGAAACAATGTCACAGAAAATACAGAATTTAAGACGCTTGAATGTTCATCATTGTCTCCATCTGTAATCTCCCTGACTCCTTTCTGAATTTACTTGTGTGAACCTGAAAGGCATTTGTGTTCCTTAGAAATATTCCTTTTCATTTCTAGCAAAATTAGCTTTAGAGATTGAAAGCATATGTTTAATTGTTGTCTTTATATCAAAAACTTGGACAACAAAGTTTGTTTCCTGCAGGTGCAAAACTGTTTTTTCTTCCCTGTTTTACTATGAAAGAGATTAAAACAGGAGATCTGTGAAGGCAACCATCTTCCTGGGGCTGGGCAGTCACACATGGTGGCAGCAGAACCGAAACACAAGAGGATCTGTTCAGAGGGGAAAATAAAATTACCCATGGGGATTTTTTTCTTTTTTCCTTTTTTCATACAGCTGATTGATTGTTTTCAGTTCTGTTTGTCAGGACGCCATGATGGGCGATATGTGCATTTCTAAAAGATTCAAATTGTTCTACAGAGCAGCCTCAGACCTAAAAGCATTTCAGACATTTTCAAGAGACCAAGTCCTTCTATACCAGACAGGCATATTATTTCAGTGGGGAAAGAGCTAAATCCTGAAACAGTGTATGAAAGTACATTTTTATTAATAGCTAGGCCTGAATTTGAGACCTACCTTATGATCTATCCAAATAGATCATATCCAAAGAGGCTTCTTGGTTCAGCTTCTGGCCCCATCCAAAGTCGGCTGTGTAGCATTCACCTTACTTTAAATTGTCTTCAGCAGGAGGAAGCCACCCTAAACTCCTTTCATAAACTGTGTTAGGATGAAATAAACTGCGCTTAGAAACTGAGAAAATAAATGTAAGGAATGTAGGTGTCCTGGGTTCAGCAGTAGCAGTCATGTTTCTCCTTCGTGGTAGCTGGTGCAGTGCTGTGTTTTGACTTCCAGCCTGGGAACAGTGCTGGTAATACCGATGTTTTCAGTTGTTGCTAAGTGATTACCCTGACCAAGGACTTTGTGAGGCTCATGCTCTGCCAGGGAGGAGGGGAAGCCGTGAGGAAGCAGAGATGGGGCGCCTGACCGAGGCTAGCCGGGGAGGTATTCCATACCACAGCACGTCATGCCCGGGGTGGGAGTTACCCGGAAGGACACGGGCTTCTGGGTGGGACTCGTCTCTTGGCCGGTGGTGATTTGTGTTGTACATTGGTTGTTGGACTGTTCTTGTCTCAACCCCTGGGAGTTGCACTCTTTCGATCTGGGGAGAGCCCTGGGGGGGGGGGGGGGGGGGGGATGGTGCTCGATTGCTCTCAGCCCAGCACCACTCACTCAGAGTGAGTGAACAAGCTGTCTGGCTAGGGTTTAAACCATGACAGCAGGAAATTAGAATGACAACCTCATATATGCACATATGCATTTACAGAGACAAATGCCACCTCTTCTCTCTATGCCTGGAAGCCTTCCTGGAGCAAGCATCCTCTAGTGAGCTTGGTTTAGCTCTTATTTATAGCTTGTGCAGAAAGTTTAGTAACTAAAACATGAGAAATAACCACAAATAGATCCTTAAACCACATATCAGCTCCTTCTGCTACTCATACAAATAAATTATTTCTTTGACAATGTACATCGTTCTTGGCAGCAGTAATGCTCACAAAGGGCTAAGTATGAAGGGCTAAAGCCCTTCAAATCTGAGACAACTTATCCTATTTCACTGCTTATGGTATGCCCACACGGCCTACGAGAAGCAGGTTCTGCTGTTAAACCAGTCTGTTCCCCTGTTTTGTAGAGGTATGTGCTGGTGCATGCATTCTTACTTTGCGACGACTGTGAAGTAAACATTAGTTTAAAACAATGTAATAGTTATTAAACTGCAATAACTTGACAACTTTTGAGTATGTGACTAAGGCCATACATGTGTGCTTTAACTGCAGCAGTGTATAGTTTAATTTTACTATTAATAGACCTTTGTGTTTATTTCCCAATGCCTCCTAACTTGTTACAAGCTGTTTCTTAAATTAACTACAAGTGGCTTTAAGAAGAGTGAAAATATTCTATGAACTCAACAGAATGAGCAAGCCAGTTATTGGCCTACGGCAGGCAAATTTTTATTGTGTATTTGTGGCAAAGCAAGCTGGTAGGAGCAGGTCTGACACACCCAATGTAATCAAAGCACCCTAGAGTCTTACTCCTGGTTTCAGGTGAAACTGTTTTCCTACCAGGTGTTAATCACAGATAACTGGTAAACCTGATTTTTGATGCCACTGTAGTTGTTTCTATCACTTTTCTTCTCTTTTCCTGTGGGTTTCAAAATGCTTTTCAACCACAGTACCAGGTACACTTGTGAAACCTGTAGAAAATTGAAAGCTACATAAAAGAGAACTCTTGCCCTGTGAAGGCATTGAGCAGCTCTGTCAGGCATTAAAAGATAGCTGAATGTGCTTACTTGTTGGGGTTTCAGGGTAGAGGCAAGATCAATAAAATCTTTTGAACATCAGCTTTGGGATAAAAATTAAATGTAGGGTTATTCTTAGCTCTCTATATAATAATTATTTAAAATACTGCAGTTCCAGGGTTTAAAACCATAATGCTGTATTGTATTGTATATCCTTTAACTGTCCTTGCCAATACCGTGGTGTTTCTCTATTCTCCTCTTCAAAATATGAATTATTTGCCTATTTTCCTTCAGATCACCACAGAAGTGGCTCTGATGCTGCATTCCCATTAATGTTCAGACCCCAGCCCCAACTACGTCCAGTTGCAGCAAAGTATCACCAGGAAGAGCTGATTCCAATGGCACACTTGGATAGACGAGCACGCTCATCCAATCCATCAGGTCGAAGAGGAAATTCAATCAGGCAGCATCGTTTCACCAGAGCAGAAAATCTAGCTCTAATGCCAAAGTCTCAATTCACTGTGGGAGAAGTAAAGGGATATGAGTCAGAAGAGGAGACAGTAAAAATGGCACCAGCCAAGCCATTAGACATATGAGGAGCATAGAAGAGCAATGTTTGCATCTCTAGGGTCCTCTGTGCACTGCTCCAGAGAAAATAACAAAGCTCTTATATGAACCAAATCCCAATTTTCCTTTTGGGACTACTGCACTTGTTCTCATATCACTTTCAAATGCTGTATCAAGGTACTTAGTGGTTCAGAGAAGGCTCAAATTCTTATATGTTTCTGTCAAGCTTTCTTTCCAACGAAACACTGCAGGAAAGAGGAACATGACTTTTGTAGGGGTTTGGACACGGATTTAAATGACGATAGTTGGGCACATGCAATGCTGTGGGTGGAAGCTAATATTGCCTTTCTCTGTTCTGCACTATGGCCTGCATCCAGAAGAAAGAAACACTGAAGGACATACTTGGCACAAGAGTGCCAAGATTGGTAACTTCAACTTGCTTAGAGCTTTTGACCTCAGAGTAGCTGAGATTTTCCAGGAAAAAGTTAAAAAACAGAAATGCATTTTTAGGCACCTAAATGTCATGGAACATGTCTAAAGAAGTACTTGAGTAAAAAGGAGTTTTAGTGGACATTTTCAGCACCACCAGAGGGAAAAAATAAAACCCTTTTTCCCCCTTTTTCTCATGTTTGCAGCTTTTGTGTGTAGCAGGCCATAAAGAATGCACTGGAATTGTACAAAGCTTTATGAAACTTAAGTTCTGTTTGCATTTCCTTACTGTGCCAGAGAAATGATACAACTTCCTTTTATGAGAGCAATTATTACAAGAGGGTAAGGTCTGGCTTTTGTACCAACACTGAATAAGCAATGAAATACAGTTCTGTACCTGAAAATCAACAAATAAACCCAGCTTCACCAAAAGAGGAAGTACCTCTTGCCAGATCTCAATCCTATAGCAAGTTATGTTAACATTTTATAAATCTGTATGAAAACATTAAGAAAAAGAGTTATCCTACAAAATCAGGTTTTAAATTGCAATGTGAGTCACCCACTTGCTGCATGAAATTTAATGAGGCCAAAATTAGTGATGTGGTCCTTAGGGCATAGAGCTGATGCAGGTGCATGGAGTGAGGTGATGAAGGTGTGGGACCTGCTGCTGCACTACAGAGTCACAAGGGGGTAGGATCTCCAAAACTGGCTGCTGGGTGATGTGGACTGGAGGCAGTCCCTGGAGACAGCAGTGAAAGGCAAGTGGAAATCTGAGTGGAAGGTGAAGAAGGGATAGTATCTCACCTTCAAAGGGAGCTCAGGAGAGAGATTAAACACAGGAATTACTGTCAGCTGCAAATTCAGCATTTCCTCTTTAAGAAGATTTAATAAGCAGGTTGTGTGGGGGAGCTGGACAGATACAAACGTGAAATGAGGAAGGTTAATTGGATATCTGGAGTGGCATGGAAAGGGACTAGACATACATGATGGAAAAGAAGACTGTGCAATTTGGTCAGGGTGTATTTGGCAGGCATGTTTAAAATTGACTCCTAAATTCTTTATTAAATACTATAAAAGTCATGGAGCATTCATATAAACACCCATTGTAAGTAAGGAGCAAAGCATTCAATTCCTAATGATCATTTATACTAGAACTAGAGAAAAAGAATTAAGTCTTGCTAAAATACAAATAAATATACAAGTACAAAAAATACAAGTACCGGTGCATAGTTGGAATAAAATCTACCTCTTGGTTTGTTCCTAATCTTTCCTTGATGAAATCAGTGAGCCAGGTCTTCAGAGAGTATAAAGCCATAGAGCATCTAGAAGTTAATAGAGCTCTCACAGCTTTTGTAGTGTGGTCCACAAACTTGTAAAGTCTATTTTTAGTTTTCTTTCCTAGCAATTAGAAAATAGGAGTGGAAGAAAATTTCCTTCTATGCAATTAGTTGCTGCTAATGGTTTTGCTGGTCATCAGCCAAGAAGAAATGCTGCAGATGCGTGTATAAAATATGTTCCAAAATATAAAGTTGCACTGTTTGTTTGTTTTCATGGGTATTTCATACTTGTAGACAAAAGAGTTCTTAGAGAAGCACATTGCTTATATTTTAGATAGCAATAGCTACAGTAATGGTTCACTACAAATAACTTACTCATGCCTAGAAGGTGAAGAATTATTATTTGAAATCCAGAGAGAAAATAGGAACTTGGGTAATTAAGTCTGTTTCCTTGGGATGGGGGGATAGGGCAGGACAGGTAAGTTTCAGGAAGGAATAATAATGAATAGCCTGTACCTTTAACAGCAGAGAAAATGGGAGATACACTTGACAAGAACTTGCTAACCAATGAGAAAAATAAGACAATAATAAGAACAGTCATAATGAGAAAATATTTTAACAGTAAAAGCAACAATGGTCAATCAGTATTTGCAGAGTTATCAGGGTCAACAGTATATTGTGAGCAACCAACAATACCTTCGTATTTATTGCATGGTGTGATTAACTGTTAGATCCTGTTGTTCTTGCTGCAGCTGTTACTCTTCAACTAATATTCCAGACAAGTTGGAACTTGTAGTTAAAGGAGAATCTCTTTCTCAGAGATCTTATCGTGAAGGATGCAGCAGTGAGAGGAGTGCCAGCAATCCGGACACAATAGCAGCTACTGTAGGGAGTGCCCAAAATGGGACCTCCAGAAATACTAGTTAACAGATTGCACTGAAAGACAGCATTGCCATGGTTCCTCCTCCAAGGGGAATGGTGCCCACTGGGAACGTCTGCAACTGCATAGTCAGGGAAACAACACGGTGGCTGCATAGTAAAGCAGGACAGGGAGGGATGCTATGAAGGACCTAAAAGCAGTTCATGAGTTGCACTATGGGAGGATATCAGTGAAGGAGTGCAGAAGCAGGAGGGATAATTTGCCTCAGAACATGACTCAAAACTCGAGTCAGTGGAGCAGTCATGTGTGTATTAAAGCCAGAGAGGAGAAGCTGTAACAGGTGGAAAAGATCAAATGCCTCGGCAAGAGCTCTAGATGAACTGATTTACTGATGTGTGTGTGGGCAAGAAAATAGGCCAACTTAAAAGACAAAAGTAAGTTCAGATGTGTTCAGAGCAATTAAGAAAGGTTGTATGAGATTCAGAAAAGTAGGCTAGAGTTTCAGGCTGGAGAAGCTGGTAGAGAAGTAACGACCATGTTCAGTGTAAGAAGGGTGGTTTAATCCATATTTAAGAGACAGGTAGTCAGAGAAAGAGGACCAGTGATATCTATAGGGGAAATAATCAGATTGCCAGAAAAACATGACTTTTAAGAAAGAGAAGATGGAAATAATTATGAAATAATTCTTATTTTTTTGCAAGTATGTTGGTTTTGTGGACTGACACTTTCAAGGTTTTTCCTGAAGCCATTAGACCCTGCAAACTCATGTTTTATTGTCATGTATAAATGAAAACTGCTATTTAAAAGCCTGTGGGAGACTCTGGAAAATATAACAAATATTTCCAACCTTCCTTTCCTTATAGAAACTTTTTCTAAATTTCTACCTACGTGTATGGATAAACCACAAACGTTAAAAGTGGAAAACCAGATTACCTTATCTTTATATTTTGTTTGCTTTTTAGGTAGGACAATTACGTTTCTTGTTTTGCCAAACTCACGGTACTTAAGAACCTTAAAATTAGAGGTGTAAGGTAACATGAGTAACATTCTGATTCAGTTAAGAGGACTGGAAATCTATTGAGCTAAGATGCTTAATTTATTTCCTTTTGCGAATCTGCCTCAAAGTTAATCACAGTGAAACTCCTTTTTCTTTCCTGTTTTGGTTTTGTAAGTATGAAATTTCAAAAGTTAATATCAGTTCTTGTTTATTTCTAGTCCACCCTTCCTCTTGGGAAAAAACAGGTTTCTACTGTGTTTCAAGCTCTGATTTTCAGATTTCTTTCTTTGGCAGGGCAGACTGCAGCCACACCAATACTAAACGGCTGGTCAGGAGACTCTCAAACAGAACATTATCTCTGACTTTTTTTTACTGTCCTTGCAAGGAGCAAGCTAAGAAGAAAGAAGTATCTGACAAGAATAGCTGTAGTGAGCTGGGGCACAAGTATTAGTCATTTCCAATGCTTTTATACATTTTATACATTTTATACACAGACAGCTGCTCAGTTCTTTTTTCTATTTTATTCTGCTAAATTCAAAATTATCATGAAACCAGCTTGAAGTTAAACTGTTTGTTTGGGTTTTTGCTGGCATGTATGTAAGGTATTAATTTAGACTCATTATTTGGTACAGGGCCTAACACCATTTACTTCTTGTATCTACTGTATTAGCAGCAGTGATAAGGGGTAAAAACAGTGAGTAATGCCCAAATGTCAAATTAAAAGAGCTCTTTTTTTTAAGATAACTTGGAATAAAACAGAAAGTCCTCTAGCTAGCTTTATACATGCCTTTAGTTAAGGGTAAATTCCCATTACAGAAGCTTGGTGAGAAAACAATAGATAAATGGAAGCCAGCTGTGGAAATAGCTTCAATATTACATGAAGGTAAATGACCACTGTTGTGGTCAAAAGTTTAATGTCCAAGTGGATACCAGTGATGAGAGGTGTCCCTCAGGGGTTGGTGTTTGGGTCAGCAGTGTTTAACATTGTTTAAAATCTTTGTCAGTGACATGGACAGTGGGATTGAGTGCACCCTCAGCAAGTTTGCCTATGACACCAAGCTGTGTGGTTCAGTTGATACGCTGGAGGGAAGGAATGCCATCCAGAGGGACCTTGATACACTTGTGAGGTGGGCCAATGGGAATCCCATGAAGCTCAACAAGAACAAGTGCAAGGTTTTGCAGAGGGGTCAGAGCAATCCCAAGCACCAGTACAGGCTAGGCAGAGAAAGGATTGAGAGCAGACCCGAGGAGAAGGACTTGGGGGTGTTGGTTGACGAGAAGCTCAACATGACTCAGCAATGTGCACTTGCACACTGAAAGCCAACCATATCCTGGGCTGCATCAACAGGAGTATGGCCAGCAGGTCAAAGGAGGTGATCCTGCCTCTCTACTCTGCACTTATGACACTGTACCTGCAGTACTGTGTTCAGCTCGGTCCTCAACATAAGAAGGAGGTAGATCTGTTGGAGCAGGTCCAGAGGAGGGCCACAGAGATGATCAGAGTGCTGAAGCACTTCTCCTATGGGGACAGGCTGAGAGAGTTGGGCTTGTTCAGCCTGGAGAAGAGAAGGCTTAGAGGGAGACCTTAGAGCAGCCTTCCAATACCTAAAAGGAGGCCTACAGGAAATCTGGAGATGGACTTTTTACAACAGCATGTAGGGATAGGACAAGGGGTAATGGGTTTAAACTGACAGAGGGTAGATTTAGGTTAGACATTAGGAAGAAGTTCTTTACTGTGAGGATGGTGAGGCACTGGCACAGATTGTCCAGAGAAGCTGGGGCTGCCGCATCCCTGGCAGTGTTCAAGGCCAGGTTGTACAGGACTTTGAGCAACTTGATTTAGTGAAAAGTGTCCTTGCTGTGGCAGGGGGTAGGAACTAGATGACCCTAAAGGTTGCTTCCAACCCAAACCATTCTATGAATATATGAATATTAGTAATACTTGCAGTGGTGCACAGTGTCTTCCAGGTGCTGTATGAACACAAGTAACAGACAGTTCAGAGTCAGGGCATCCTGTGCGTTATGCCACTGCTAAATCCCCACATGAAAGGTGGGGAAACTTGCACAGAGCAAATGAGCTGTGTGTAAACATTACACAGGAACAGTGCCAGGAACTGAACATGAGACCCTGCTCCCTTGACCCCAAGTCTACTTTTACTTCTCTTAGGCTTTCTGGTGGCTGAAACCTACAGAAAGGAACAAAAGAACAGACTGAAACAGTTCATTCAGCTCACACCACACAGAAAGGAACAATCCAGACAGACATTAGATTCTTTCTGTACTGCGTCAAGCCAGGCATAATGACCTGCTCTTTACAAACACTCCTAAAAGACATCATAAAATTTTGCTGCATTTATGTGTAAAATATATGTAAGGTAAAAAAGATGCAATTCTTCACTCATTTTTCCCCAACACATTCACTGTTGTTCCTTTCAAAAACCAATATAATGTTCTGCATGTTTTGTATAGTTACATAAACTTGGTAACATTGAAAGGGTTTGTAAGAAGTGAATATACCATAACAAATACACCTTTTTCTTGGAGGCTAGAATGAAAAAACTTGTGTAAGTTGCTGCTCCTACTGCATTTTGGTCCAACGAGGAAGGGAGGATGTAGGTGTTTAGCACAGGTGTTAGACCTAAGATAAATTCCTTGAAACTCAGGGCTAAGTCATGTGCAGATGCCTCAAGACATCTGAGTTGCCAGATTTGGCAGAGAAGCCAAAGGAGCACACTGCTCCCTGGGTAAGTAGCCAGAGGCCAGGGAGGCCCCATGGGCACCTTCATGGCAGCTGGACTGCACCCCTGGGGCTGGCATTGGTGGGGACCTACAAAAGGCAGCCAATGGCACTTAGGGCATAAACCAGTTGAACATATGTGAACGGCTGTCTTGCAGGGATCTGATGAACAGTTCAGCCTCCACTGACTCCAGTGGGAGCTCAGCCATCTACCCCACATGCAGACACCTTCATGGTGAGCATCTAAATGCAGCTTACTGAGTCTGAAGTGGAATTCCACAGTCCTGACCCTTCAAGAAATTTTGGCATGTATGAATGAAAAACATCTTTCCAAAGATAGGCGTTATAACTTCTTTAGCTTTGAGATTAATCTTTTCCTTCTCAAGAAATTAAGCCATTTGTGCAT